AAAAGTTGTTTCCCGCTTGGTGCAAATCATCTGAAAGGCCTATCAAGAGAAAATGTTACCGTTCAAATTTCCAAATTTCCCACTAAAATAATAGTTTGGGGTGTTCTCGAACGCGACTAGTTCGCGCTCGAGACGCATCGCCCCGCCCCTCAATTTTCCTATTGGTCGCTGACCTGGAAATCCCTATTTATCGCTACTTCAGCGTGTATAAAAATAGGCGATTTTCAGGTCAACCAAGTCATTCCTTCACGGGCTCTCCGATAGCTTAGTGCTCTCGGGGCTCTGCTTCCTTTTTAGCTTTCTATACTCTGTGGCTGAGTAATTATTCTACTACAATTTGGTGTTTTATTTCAACTTAACCCTTAACCACTGACATGCGGTATGCCATGCCGAGCCGTAAATATATTTTGTTGTAAAACGTGTTTTATAAAAGATTCTTAGAACACCATCTGTGTACCTTCAAGTGGGGTTTAATTGTACCTGCTCTCAACTGCTGCAGTTTTAGTACACGTTTAGTCTTTGAGCTACGTTGACATAAAGTTTTCTTGAGGTATCAAGTACCGCATGTCAGTATTTACGTTTCTATAGTTAAAAGCAGTGTAGTGTATTCTTTTGCTGTTAGTATGGCAGCAAGTTCATCCAGTTGTTCTAAATTTAGCCGCAAAACTGTAAAGCTTTCAGATGATGATTTTGAGGCTGTTTTATCTCAATGGGCTGAAGAAGTACCTAGTGATTTAGAATATTTTAGTGATAGTGATGTTGACGATGCAAGCGAAGAAGTATGTATTGAAAGTTCACACAATAGCGGAAGTGAGCAGTCGGAAAGTTCTGAAGACGAATATCATTTAAATGATAATGGCAAGTCATATTTTTAAGGCAAAAATCGTTTTAAGTGGTCTACTACAGCACCCTCGAAAAATGTAAGAACTCCGTTACACAACCTTGTAACAAAAGTACCAGCTGTGCGGTCCAGAGATGTAAGAAAGGAAACTTCATCATTTTTTTTTAATTTTCTTATTTCTGAGGATATAATACAAGAAATACTTAAATGGACAAATAATAAATTACGTGCAATTTGTGAAAACTTGCTATGAAAAAAGAATGAATAGACCAGAACTAAATGAAATAGAACTAAAAGCCTTTTTGGGATTGCTTTTATACTCATCAGCTTTCAAATCCAATGACGAAGATATAAATTCTATATTTGCTACAGATGGCACTGGTAGAGATATATTCAGATGTGTTATGTCAAAAGAAAGATTTGCAATATTTCTAAAATGTTTACGTTTTGATAACACTCTGGATAGAGAAGAAAGAAAAAAGATAGATCCAACAGCAGCCATTAGTAACATATTTAATATATTCATATCAAATTGTCAAAAACTGTATTCCGTAGGCACATGTGTTTGTATGTGTTTAAAATGTATATGCCTAATAAGCCTGTGAAATATGGCATTAAAATAATGTGCCTGACTGATGCACGAACAAGTTACTTATACAATGCCTATATATATGGAGGCAAGGACATTGACGGAACTGGGTTATTTGAGGAAGAAAATAAGATGAATAAACCAACTCAATCTGTTCTTCGGCTTGCTAAACCTATTTATGGAACTAACCGTAATATCACAGCTGATAATTGGTTTAGTTCTATAGAATGAGTAAAGCAGTTAGAAGTAAAGAAGTTAACGTATGTGGGAACCCTCAAGAAAAATAAATGGGAAATCTCTCCGGAATTCCAGCCCCACCGATGCAGGCAAGTAAATTCAACTTCTTACGGATTTACGAAAAGTTTATCCCTAATTTCCCATGTGCCAAAAAAATCGAGGGCTGTTTTATTTATTTCTTCGATGCACCATTCAATAGGCACGGATCAGATTACTGGAAAACCAGATATAATAGCTCATTATAATCGTACGAAAGGAGGTGTCGATGCTTTAGATGCCAAGTGTGCCAAATATTCTGTAAATCGTCGTTCTCGCCGATGGCCACTTACTATTTTTTACCGCATCATTGATATAGCTGCTGTTAATTCGCATGTTGTATACCAATCACTACAAGCAGATAATATAGAAAGGCTAAACTACACAAAGGAGTTGGCGAAACAATTAGTTTTACCTCATCTACAAAGAAGACTCGAAAATCCCAGAATCCCGAGAGAATTATTATGTGGTATTGAACGAATACTACGACAAAAACGCCAAAAAGAAGCAGATTTTAAAGAAAGGCTTGAGAAAAAGAAGACGTGTTACTTATGCCCAAGTGCATTAAAGCGAAAGACTTTTTATGTGTGCTTTTCTTGTGGAAAACCAGTGTCCTTACAGTGTACAAAGAAAAATTGCGGACCTTGCGCGCAAAATGACTAGTTATTTTATTGTAATTTTTGGTTATTGTCAGAATTTTGTATTTTAGTTTCTCATTAAATTTAAATCATTAGTCTGTTTCTTTTAACATTATTTTACCATTTGTTAGTCAAAAGTAAACAATTTTTCTTGTAATTTAGTTTATAAACGATTTTGTAGTAAAGTCCACCATTTTTTAAAATATTATGCATGCATTCTTAATATTCTTGAAAAAGTAAAGTTTATTTTACTTGTAGCAGTATATTAAGCTACAGCAATGTTAAGAATCATTCCATAGTTGATATCAAAAACAAATACAGTGATATAAGATAAATTCATATTAAAAACAAAGGAGAATAGGCAACGGTATGACATACCGCATGTCAGAGTCTACGTCCTGAAACATCCATGTCAGTAGTTAAGGGTTAATATTGTTCATGTAAGAAATAACTTGCCTTTTTCAAGGCAAGTCACCAAAGAAGACAACCTGATGGTTTATTTCAACGAAGAATTTTCGTCATGTAAGAAATAACTCGTCTTACTCAAGACGAGTCATCAGATGCGAAAACTTTTACAAGTCCATAACCTGAAAGTGGACTTGGGTAGAGGTGCATTCGTTGACGTCTCCGAAGCCCTCTACAGAGCACCCGGAGGCAATAGAAGAGTTTAGACCCCTAATTGTTCCCCCGAGGTGACATGGCGACCGACAACGTGGTTAAAATCCGCACCCACGACCCAGCTCGAATTCACAGAAAGCTGCACTCCATTGACTTCAACATGGGTTGAAGTCAAGAGAAGAATGGGGAGAACCACAGAGTGTTAGAATGCTATACTCTAACACACCTACATCGAGGCCTTCTGCAGACTGGATGCCTTCGACGTGCTGGCGCCTTTGACGAGCCAGCCTTCTTCGAAGTTAGAAGCCCCAGATGCCGATGAAAGTCCCGGAGTAGACCCAGTCATCGCCCCCTACCAAAAGTGGTTGGACGACCACGTAGGCTTCGGCACACTGGTACCCTACGAAACCCCGTCGTATATGGCAGATGGGATCCAGAAGTCCGAGAAGAAGACGAACCCGTTGACAGAGTGGGCGCACCGACCGAGGATGGTCCTACAGGAGTTTGAGATGCCGTCATCAACATCGACCTCCCCTGTAAGTAGTGCCAGTACTCTGAATTTTTGAACTTTCATTGAACATTTTATTTTCTTGTGCATTTTTATGTACGTTTTTACTTGTATTCTTATTGCGTATTTTATTGTGTATTTTTTACATGTACATTTTTTATTGTATTTTTATGATTCAATAAATTTCTTTCCCAGCCACAGTGTCTCCAGAGGAAGGGGGATGTTCTCGAACGCGACTAGTTCGCGCTCGAGACGCATCGCCCTGCCCCTCAATTTTCCTATTGGTCGCTGACCTGGAAATCCCTATTTATCGCTACTTCAGCGTGTATAAAAAAAAGGCGATTTTCAGGTCAACCAAGTCAGTCCTTCACGGGCTCTTCGATAGCTTAGTGCTCTCGGGGCTCTGCTTCCTTTTTAGCTTTCTATACTCTGTGGCTGAGTAATTATTCTACTACAATTTGGTGTTTTATTTCAACTTGCCTATTAAGAAATAACTTGCCTTTTTCAAGGAAAGTCACCAACCTGATGCCAAGGCAAAGAAGACAACCTGATGGTTTATTTCAACAAAGAATTTTCGTCATGTAAGAAATAACTTGTCTTTCTCAAGACGAATCATCAGATGCGAAAACTTTTACAAGTCCATAACCTGAAAGTGGGCTTGGGTAGAGGTGCATTCGTTGACGTCTCCGAAGCCCTCTACAGAGCACCCGGAGGCAATAGAAGAGTTTAGACCCCTAATTGTTCCCCCGAGGTGACAGGGGAGCAATATCTCAGCGTCATGCAACACCTCTCTGTATAGTTAATGGTACTGTTGATAGTGCGAAATATTGTGACAAACTGAATGGTTTTCTTTTTGAAACGGCTCATGTTTTATATCCAGAGGGGTGGCGTTTTCAGCAAGATAATGCAAGTTATCATACTTCTGCTTATACTCACGCTTGGATACAAGAATACAAATTGTCAACAATTCCGTGGCCAGCAGCATCTCCAGATCTTAGCCCTATTGAAAATAGATGGAGACTGATGAAGTTTGAAGTGGAACGAACAGCGCTACGAGATAAAGAAGGTTTGATTCCGTCAGTTTTACAGGCCTAGAACACCATTACCGAAAATTATGGCCTTGCCCTAATTTTGGGTGTACCTGGACGTTTATCTAAGTGTTTAGATTTAAATGGGAGTTGTATAAATAAATGAGATGAAATATTTGTTGAAATTTTATATTTCAAGTGATAGAAATAAAAACCATAAAATTATAATTCTCCTTTCTTTTTTTCGGATACTTTCTAGACGGACTATATTTCTGTTCTTGTTTGTGATATATTTAAGTTAAGGTTTATATTTCCTTTATTATATACTATGTATTTTTTGACTTATTACAAACAATATTTGTATCTGTTATGTAGTTAAATAAATACTCTACTCTACTCCACTCAATTTAGACCGGCCACGGTGGTCTCAGCGGAACACAAAGTATGTAACAATATGCAATTTTTATAATGTCTGTATTAATCATTTTAACTATCCATTACTTACCATCATAACCTGTAAGTATAAAATTTGCATTTTGAACAGGTACTCTAATATCGTACCATACGGATCGTGGCAGAGGGTTATAAACTACTATAATGGATCGATCTTTCATCGTGTTATCACAATTACTAATATTAGCTAGTAAGCATGTGTACAAAGGTAAATTAATATCTGTAGCATTTTCTTCTTTCTTAAGGATTTTCCTGAAACAAACACAAAAATCTGTGTGAATATGTTACAGGTACAAACAAGTATTTGTCTTTATGTGTAAATAGAATTATAACTAGAATTGCAAACACAAATCTTTCTAAATTCTAAAAATATTTTTTGAGATTGAGATTTAGAGCTTGGTCTTCACAAAGAAATGGTTGCCTCATATTGCCTCAAAAATATTTTTAGTTTCTTATATGCACTGAATATTGGGCAACTAAAATGAGCGAAAGAAATTGATGACGCAAAAAAAACAAAAATAAAAATGTATAAATTAACTGAGATGTACCGGCTGACTAAAAAATTAGTGAAATAACAGGCACTTATATTTAGAAATAATCATACATACTGCTGTATAAAAACGGCAAAATAATTATAGACCTCGGTGAAAGGCCTAAAAGATGGCAGGAAGACGAACGGACTAAGAAAGTACTAGAGCAGGAAAAGTTCGACAACAGGGCAACAGGTCCTGACAAAATACCTGTAGACCTAATTCGGTTAATAGAAGAACAGTAAATTGGAATATTGGTCAATTTATTCAATACAATATACAGTACAGGAATCATTTCCAGAGATTGGCTGATGTCAACATTTATAAAACTACCAAAAAACCAAATGCAAAAGAATGCCAAGACCACCGGATAATAAGTTTAATGAGTCATAGGCTCAAAATATTTTTAAAAATTATAAACCGGAGAATACACAACAAACTTGAGCAAGACATAAGTGACACACTATTTGGATTTAGAAATGCACCAGGAACGAGGGAAGCCCTGTTCGCTGTGAATGTACTTGTGCAAAGGTGCATAGATGTTAATCAGCCAATATATATGTGTTTCTTGGATTACAACAAAGCGTCTTATCGAATTACTTGAAAATAAAAACTTAGATATGAGAGACATTACGATCATTAGCGCTATCTATTATAATCAGATCGCTGTGGTAAAAGAGAACAACGTCTTTTCAAATGAATTACAAATTGAGAGGGGCGTCAAACAGGGCTGTGTCCTGTCTCCTACTTTGGTTAAATTGTATTCAGAGGAAATAATTTAGGAAGCACTAGAAGAACTAACTATGGAAATAAAAGTAAATGGCCGACTAATCAATAATATACGGTTTGCCGACGACACTATTTCATTAGCGTAATGTCTTGAGGATTTATAACAAATGGTTGACAGAGTGGTAGAGGTCAGTGAAGAAAACGGACTGTCCCTAAACACAAAAAAAACACAATTTATGGTAATTACAAAAGCCCAACAGCGCCAATAAAACATAACAATACATGGAGAACAAATTTAAAAAGTTGAAAAATATAAATATCTGGGTACAATAATTAACCACAATAATGACTACACAGCAGAGATTAAGGCAAGAATAGGACAGGCAAGAAATTCTGTCAACAAACTAAAGTACTATGCAGCAGGGGCACTTGAATTTCTTTAAAGATAAGACTTCTGAGATGCTACGTGTTCTCCGTATTATTTTATGGGTTGGAAGATTGGACATTAAAGAAAGATGTTTTGGGTAGATTAGAAGCCTTCGAGTTATAGGCCTACAGAAGGATATTAAGAATAAGTTGGGTGAATATAGTCACGAATGTCGAGGTGTTACAGAAAAATATGAAACGATAAAGAGGTTTTAAATACAATTAAACTCAGAAAACTGCAATATCTGAACATATCATGAGGGGCGAGCGTTATAACTTGTTGCAATTAATAATACAAGAAAGAATACATAGTAGAAGGAGTCGCGGAAGAAGCAGCATTTCCTGGTTAAACAATTTAAAAACTTGGTTTAACTGCACTTCTTCTGACCTCTTTAGAACAGCGGCATCGAAAGTGCCAATTGGTATGATGGTTGCCAACAATCAGCATCAATCGTTTTAAATTTGCTCCATTCAGAGAATTTTTGAATTTATTCAAGAGTAATTGCAGAAAAAATTACACTCCACCAATTTTACTAAAAGTAAACCAGATAAGTATGGACTCAAAATTATTTCTCTTTGTGATGCAAGAACATTCTATTTCTATGGAGGAATTTCTTACGTTGACAAAGAAAACAGACCACAAAGTGACCTGCTGTTACCAACTCAATATGTTCTTAAACGCTCTAAGCTCAATATGTTCTTAAGTGATCTAGCAAAAGTTGCCACAGCAAAAATGACCAAAATATGGAAGGACTATCAAATTTCAAGAGCGATAAAGATGAGGTTGATCAACTGCTTAATATTCCCAATACTGACTTACTGATGTGAATCTTGGACTCTGGGACAATCGGAGAGAAGAAAGATAGACGCCACTGAAATGTTCTGTTGGAGACGAATGTTACAAATTCCTTGGACCGACCGTAGAACAAATAATTCAATTATAAGAGAGCTAAAAGTTAGCCAACGACTCTCTAGTAAAGTCCATCTCCAACAATTAAAATATTTTGGGCATGTTATGAGAGCAAACACAGAAAACATGGAAAGACTCATAATACAAGGAAAGGTAGAAGGTCGAAGATCACGACGAAGATCCCCAACAAGATGGATAGATCAAATTACAGGAATATGCCAAAGACCTATGCATGAATTAAAAGAAATGACCAGAGACAGAGATCTCTGGAGACGGACAATACACGACATCACGTCGACCACTACACTCCCCCTGGGGGGTCAGGATTGAAGAGAGAGAGAGAGAGATGTTCTTAAGCTTGTAGAACCTATTAAGAACTCAAACAGAAACGTTACCACCGACAATTGGTTTTCGTCTTGTCAACTGTCTGAAGAATTTAGAAAGAATAATATAACTTTAGTTTGAGCAAAAGCAATTGGAAAGCACAGAATATCTAAGAAATCAAAATTAAACTCGAAAGTTCTACAGAAATCTAAACAAAATGCGCAAAGAGTTTAAGCCAAGAATAAGGAGCTGTAAGCACGCAGAAGGAAACATCCTAAATGATACGGCCTCAATCCTAAACAGATGGGTTGAATTTTTCGATGCAAAATTTAATGGCCATCATATCGAAGAAGCAGACACCCTAGCAAATCGAAATGATTGGAATCCTTTCAACCCAAACGAAAGACCACCTACCATCGAAAACGTTCCCCAAGCCATTAAAAAGCTTAAAAAATAATAAATCACCAGGAGTTGATCAAATTTGCAGTGAGCTCTACAAGAATGGTGGCGATGCCCTACTGCAGACACTGCATAAGCTTTTACTTCTTGTTTGGCATAATGAGACCATGCCTTGTGAATGGTCTCAAGGCGTGATATGCCCGTTACATAAAAAAGGTGACCAGCTCCAGTGTGACAACTATAGAGGTATAACCATGTTAACAACTGCTTACAAAATACTAGCAAATATTCTCTACGAAAGGTTGCAAGTTTACACAGTGGGCATAGTTGGTAAATAACAAGTTGGATTAACTCCAGAAAAATCAACGATTGACCAGATTCATTCAATAAGACATATTCTCGAGAAGACATTAGAATTCAATATTGAAACCCATCACCTATTCGTCGACTTCAAGGCCGCATACGACAGTATCAAGAGAACAGTGCTATACCAATCAATGCATGAGTTTGGTATACCAGAGAAACTTATCCGACTAACGAGAATGACAATGTTTAACTTAGCAGCCACTGTTAGAATACAGGGAGAGAGTTCTAGATCCTTTGAGATAAAGGATGGACTCAGACAAGGAGATGCTCTGGCTTGCCTCCTATTTAATATTGCCTTAGAAAAGGCAGTCCGAGATACACGAATTAGGGATGGCGGTACTATTTGCAATAAATCGATACAAGTCTTAGCATATGCTGATGACATTGACATAGTAGGGCGTAGCAAGCGAGATGTTGAGCAATATCTCCTAGAATTGGAAACAGCGGCGAAACAGGTCGGTCTAGTCATCAACGAAGACAAAACCAAGTACATGTTGGTTACAAAGGATCCGATAGCAAATGAGGAACGAGAAACAGTCTTTGGAAGTCATACCTTTGGACGTGTTGACAACTTCACATACCTTGGGTCGCTATTGACTGCTACCAATAAAACAAGCGAAGAAATCAAAAAACGAATAAATCTTACAAATAGGGCATACTATGGACTCCAAAAGCATTTCCACTCAAGAAACATTCAAAGAAGAACTAAAATTATTATATACAAAACATTGCTGAGGCCGGTCTTCACATATGGAGCAGAAACATGGACACTGACGCAGAAAGATGAAAGACTTTTGGGAATATTTGAGCGTAAAATACTCCGCAAAATATTTGGAGCTGTAAACGACCAAGGGCAGTAGCGCAGAAGATATAATTTTGAATTGTATCAGCTCTTTGATGAGCCAGATGTCATAACGTTCATTAACACACAGCGACTTAAATGGGCTGGACACATAATACGAATGCCAGAAAATACCATTGCTGAAAAGCTAACCACAGGAACACCTGTAGGAAAAAGAAGTAAAGGCCGACCGCGAATTAGGTGGTTAGATGAAGTAGAAACCGACTTACGAATATTAAAAATCAGAAGATGGCAACATGTTGCCAAAAACCGAACAGAATGGCGACGAATCTTAGAGCATGCCAAGATCCACAGAGGATTGTCGAGCCAAAGATGATGATGATGAATATAACTAGGCACCCTTCGAAAAATAAGAGGGAGATTCCTAAACCCTTTATTGACACAAAAGGGATTCCTACTGAGTCATCACGATTTTTGTACAGTCCCGATAATATGTCGGTATCACATGTACCGAAGAAAAATAAAAATATAGTATCTCGTCAATATATTCTACTGGAGACGTAGATCAAATTTCCAATAAACCTGATATAATAAAATTCTACAATATGACGAAGGCGGAGTCCACGTCTTTGATCAGCTCTGTCATTCAAACACCACCAAAACAAAATCCAACCGAAGGCCTATGAGGTACTTTTTTGGAGTTCTTGATGCTACTGCTGTGAATGCTTTTGTAATTTACAAATTGAATGTAGATACACCTGTATCGAGATCTCAATTTTTAAAAAACTTATTGCTGGCCTTATCGGCTACTCACATAGAGCAAAGAATTTAAAATTCGAGAATTCCAGTTGCCCTAAAGACGCAAATATCTATATTGCTTCATAAAGATATCCCTTCTGCTACAAATATAGCTGCTAACGCTTAACAAGGAAACTCAAAAAGACCAGGATTGTGTGCCTTCTGGGATCTGAGAAAGAGAAGGAGAAGAAATTACAGTTGTGGCTATTGTAATAAAAGTGTGTGTGGTGAGCACACACACACTTTTATTCACACACACAAACAATGCAAACGAATTATTTACCCCCAGTATTATAATTAATTAATAAAAATTTTATAATTTTTTATTTTGTTTAACCGTTTTTGTTGTTTTTTTTTGTTCCATTTTATAACTTGGAGTATGAAGAATTGTATTACTTTTGTTTAATCGTTTATGTACTTCTAATATATTTTATAAAAATTTTTATATATCAAATGAACTTAATTTTCACTAAAATCTATTATGAGTTTGGTTATTTATAAACTAAATTCATTCTTAAGTTACCGATGGAATAAACAGAAATCACCGCGTGAGATTCCAGTCTGAATGTGACGAACATCTTATCATTGACCACACGTTATCGAACTATCCTATAAAATATTAATCATGATATTAATATGATTATCTTATAATAATCACGTTTAGATTCGAATATCACGCGGTGACTTCTGTTTATTTCGTCGGTAACTTAAGAATGAATTTAGTTTATAGTTTACTATGAATTGTCTGTTTTGTATATTAAGCAAGATATAAAATAGCGGTAAAATTAGAATAATGTCGTATCCGACGTCACGGTACTAGATATGTCCAAATCATCACCGTGTGGTTCTAGGGTTAAAAGAACAATTTGAAAATAAGGAACAAAAAAAGCAAAAGGAGAATAAGGTTGAGAAACTTAAACGAACAAGTGGAGCTACTAAGATAAAAACAGAAAAATCAGTCAAGAAGAAGACCTATAGCGTGAAAGCACACCAAACACGAGAAAACGAACTATGTGCAGTATGTTTGAAGTTTGGATCAAACGAATTGTGGTGGAGATGTCATCTCTGTGGTCTCTGGGCTCATGCAGACTGCATGAAAGCGGATACTGCTACTTTTTATATTTGCTCAAACTGTAAATGTGACTAAAGGAATATGTATTTTATACTTAAACCTAAGTAAACTGAACCATTGAAATTGTTCATCTGTGATCGATATTCACGATACTTGATCGATATTACCCATCTCCATTGTCTATATTACCCGATTCTTCGATATTACCCGAATTTTTAGAGTTTCAAAAATATGTATTTTTAAAATATTTGTAATTATTTTATAATATTTAGTCATTTAATGTTAATTCAAGTATCCATTCATTTAATTAAAGTCATTTTTTAACTCAATGAACTAAATGTCCCTATTAATTTCATTCATTACGAATTTCAAATTCGTAAAAGCTATAGCAAAGCAAACAGTCTATACCATGGAAGTATAAAGATAGATGGACACAGCAATAAGATACCTTTAACACACAATGTTTTGAAGCTTCGATAGAATGTGATGCTTCCGCAATGAGCATAAGCGTGCTTGAATTTTTACTCGCGGGTAATTATTCAGATGTTAAAAATTGGAAGTAGTAATAATGTATAAAAACACGTTCAAAGAATTTAAAAACACAAAAGTTTAACTATTAACAAATCACGTTTTTATAGACAAATTAAAATACAATTTTATTTGCTTTAAACTTAATACAATAAAATATAGTTGAATTCAAGTTAATTTTTTAATAGGTATCAAAATAATGCTACAATAAAAAATCTTTATGTTTTCTCCTAAATTTGCTACCAAAATAGTTCGATCGTCAATATTATTTGAAAACCTATAGAAAAATAAATGAGTTTTATTCATTTCGCTAATTTATTTGCATCCATGAGAAATATTAAATTAAAAAGGTAATAAACAGTTCTTTTTGTGTCTACTACATGTCTACTAAAATCATGAACTTGTATCCTATTCAATACATTAATGAACATGAATAAACCCAATGGTACGCCTATTCAAATGTAAACAAACACGCTTACTCATTTCCTCATCTTAAATAATGTAAATTGTATGTACTTACAAATGAAATGAGAGATCGGGATGTAAATATTTCGTTTATTTTATTTCACTTTTCACAAATATCACTCAAAATACAGCCAAAATATCGAAAAACAACTTTTACTAAAAAGTAAACAAACATGGAACAGCATTTGAAGTTTGACGTAGATCCATAAGACAAAGAAATGTAAACAACCGTTGCCATTTATAAATAGTTTTCAGTGCTTCTACATATAAAATAATTGATTGATACGTATTATACGCTATTATTAAATGATAATGCACACTACGTCCACACTTTATAATATTTTGATTACAATTAAATATATTAATCTAACCAATAAATTATAATTTTGGTTTGATAGCATCTGTAGAGTATAAAATACGAGTAATATTTTCAGTGACTCGCGAATAAGAAATTTTAAAACAAAACGTGACAACAGTTGAAGGTGCTGAGAATGTGACATATTCAAATAATTTTGACTTTACAATTTTATGTAAATAACTGAGTCCATCTGTGTTTATACGTCCATGGTCTATACAAGTTTTGTCTTAACTAGTCAATATTCCCCCACCGTCCCCTATATTGTGTAAAAACTACTAACAAATTGTAACATGTATAATAAAATATAAATATAAGACTGTCTTACCCTATAATTCTCCCGATATTTTCTTCAGTCGCTCTAATAGCACTAGTTAAAATTCTGGCATAATCTTTGGCAACTCGTTCTTTTTCCGTTCCGGTAATTGCGTCATGGTGCTGCATGGTACCCACAGCTTCCCTCAAGCTGCGTAAATTTTCTTCGGCCTCATTTCCATCGACAAAGTTCATCATTTTTCCAAAAGCATTGATTTGCTGGGCAGCCTAAAACTCAAATTGTAATAGAAAACAACTTCGTTTAGATAAGATAAGGCAGTAATTCAATTATTATGTTATTATAGATTTTTAAAATATATTTGTAAGAGAAATTAAGCTGCACAAATCATTAATTTGATCATTCTATCTATCTATCTATACAGCACTTTAAGAGCACCTGAAGACAGGTTCTACCTCACCAGAATAAACCGTTGCTGGTTTGGAAAATTGCCAAAATGCAGAAAACGACTGTCTTTTGTTTGAGCATGACTGATTGAGACTGCTTTTGATTTTTTTTGTTTAAAAACTTTCTTTATATGATTAAAAATGTTAAAGTTTCATTTTCATGAATAAATCCCTTATGCTTTTTATTGAACTAAATACAGTTTATTATTATTTTAGAAATTTATTTGCAAAACTGGTTATTTGCAACAAACATTTTTTTTTTCTAAAAATCTGTAAATATTTTAGGCTAGAAACTTCTAATTTCCATTGCTAAAACCTCTAAAAAACATTAATAAAATTCTTTACGTTGTGAACTAAACACTACTCGGCTGTTAATCGTTTTTTTCGATTTCCCAAACAATTACTTCCGAGCAAAGAGCAAGTTTTGCAAATAATGGCCTCAAATGTAAAACGCATTAATTTTACTGAATAAACACCTCAGGAACGCCTATGATGATACAAATTTTACGACCGTTTTATGACTTTGAGGCACATTTCGCGCTCTCAACAAATTGTGAACGGAATATAAATTGGCGTGGTGGTTGGTGTGGGATTGGCGCAAGGATTGGGGCGAAGGTTGGCGCGAACATTTCTGACAGACGGATTTTCGTTAATTTGTAGCAATTATTATTTATTACCTGTAAAATATTATTCCCAGTTCTTTCAAATCTCTTTAGCGTGGACCTTGATGTATAATAACCAGACCAAAAGATATGACTGTTTTCATTATACGGGAAGAAGTCACCATCTTCCTTAACATCCAAGTGAGCATTGCTTGGATTGACTGCCTTTACATAGCATGAAGGAGTAGAATAAAAGACGTTGTAGGATTTGTTGTATTCGGGATATGTTTGAAAACCTCTGAAATTTAAACGGATTATGTAATCATCTGAAAACAAAAATTAAACTATATTTTCTAACATTATTCCATAAAACAGTTGAGACTGTCAGTGACACGAAGAAAGAAGACACTTATTTTTTCCTTTAGACGTTTTCACTACGTTAAAATCATCAAGGCTAAACAGTTTTTAATTTCCTTTTGGTGTATATTTGATTATTTAGAAAATTTACCGAGAGATTATTCCTAAGAACGGATACAAGACCATAGTCGAAAGCATTACAACTTATGAAGCTGAGATCTTTATTTATTTTGAATTAATGTGTCTTTTGCATATTTTTATCGTCACTGACACAAAAGCAAAGGTTGACAATACTACACCTTGACTACTCTATTTTTTGTCGTTCGACTTATATGATCCTTTCATTCTACTCTTCTATTTCATACCCTGTCCTTGATATTCTCCACTATGCATCTAGATCGTATATTTGTACTTCTAGCTCTGTCCATAATATTTTTTGTTTTCAATTTGTCAGTGTTTTCATCTCTGTCACTTCTAACAATATTTTTGTCCTCTCTGTGTCAGGTTGTGATTCTGCCGTATATATCCCCATTGGTCTGATGACTGTTTTGTAAATTCTGCCTTTCGCAGATGCTAATGCGACGCAGGGCTGTGTTAGCCGCATTAGCCATGTCCGTTTTCTGACTCGACTTCACAACCAGTGCGAGATCATCAGTACAAGCTACAAAAGTGCATCCCCTTGGCATCTGTAGCCTCAACACCCCGTCGTACACGACATTCCACAGGATGGGACCTAGTGCTGAAACTTGCGAAACACTCTGCGATAAACTGATTCTGGTATCTTTTTTTCTTATGGACTTTTCAGTAAAGTATCTGTTGTTGACCAGGTACTCACTAATGTCCCTTTTGGCCCTTAAACAATATTCGCGGTAGCTCAGCGCATGCTTTTCTTGTAGCTCTAGCTTAAGGCGGCCTTTTATAAGCTGTTCGTAAAATTTAGCTATTGAACTAAGAAGGCGAATTGGCCGAAATCGTATCTCTTTCCCTTCACCTCTACATTTCGGTATAAGAAAAATCTTCAACATTGTTGGAAAATACTGTTGGTCAAGCTGTTTGGTAAGCAATCTTAAAAAAACCTGCGAGTATTTTAGTACGGCGAGTCTTACTGTCTCCGGCATGACTCCATCTATGCCAGGTGTTTTTTGGATCTTCATCCATCCAACAACCACGCAGAGTTCCAACTCAGTAAAAGGTTCCGCATCTACGAAACCAATAACCCTTTCACGCCTATCTTCCACCTGAGAAAAGAGTTCCCGTATTAAACGCAGTTTCTCCTCAGGCATGGGATAGGGTGTCTTTTTCCCCTTTAATTCGTACAGACAATATTGAAGCCCTGTCGCCAGATATCCCTTTCAAGATCCTGAAAAAGGTTACTCCACCTTTTTTTCTGGAATCTTCTTATCTCATTCCTGTATTAATTCTGCATTTGCTTTAATTAATTTATTCTCTATTCCAAATCTACTGCTTATACTCTCCTTAATCTCTTACACTCCCTTCTTATTCTCATGCAGTTTATCCTCAGATTTTCAAGCTGCTCGTTCCACCAGTATGGATGTTTTCTTTCATACATCCGATTTGATCTTACACAAGCTAACTCTTGTGCATCGCTCAGACCCTCAATTAACTTACACACATTCGCACATCCCGAACCAGTCAAGCCAAAAGCATATATAAAACCGTCTTCATTTAAACATCTCTTCAGATTTATCCTCCATTTTTACGTTCCTGTCAAACTCACATACTTGTGTAAGCTGAGAGATTCTTCTTCTAAAACAGTCCAGCTTACGACCCTGTTTAGAAATGTCGTTAAAGCCAGTTTGATGTCCAGAAAGGATTCACTATGACCTCTCACGAATGTAGGTGCCTTACCGTCATTTAACACGGTAATCCTCATGGTGTGGATCCATTCTGATAGGTACTTCCCTCTCCTATCTTGCACTCGTGGGTTCCATGAACAATGTACTCTTCATATACTCGAAGCGGGATATTTGGTGAAACATAGTAATTATATACTACCAGGTTTCCAACATATACCTTAATATAACCATTCTTAACGGATTCACCTGTCTGGTCATGCCAGCTCCTCGATTCACCATGTATACAGCCACTTCATATTTCCTCTTTAATCTTTAATGATCTCTTGTCGACAGACCAACTTTATGTTGGGCTCCTGAAATAGAATCATGTCATAACCTTTCCTTAGTGCAAGTGCCTATGCAACTTCGTGAGCAGCCCTCGACCTTCTCACATTTATTTGTAGAAACTTCGTATTAAATGGGTCTTATCTCTTTAACTTACTTACCCGTACGATGTCTGATTCCTGGTCCTAAGAGCTATCACCCACTCTTTCCTCCTCCCTTCTGATAGGGTCTCTTCTGACCTTCCGTTTTTCCAGATTTTCTATACTCTGGGCATCGTAAGCTGTCGGCTTTGTACCCAGCTTCTTTACAATTGAGGCAAAAAGTCTCCTGATTAGGCTTTTTGTCTCATTTTTTTTCATGCGTTTTTTCTTTGCCCAAGTTTTCTCTCTTTTATTCGTATTTGTTATGCCCAAACTTCAGGCATCTAAAGCACTGCTGGATATGCAGTCTCTCTCGTATCTTGCACGAGTTTCAGCCGATATGTATGTGTTCTTTCCCCAGTATTTTTTTGTGTTTGTGTTCCCGTTTTTATTTTCCCTAAAGAGACGAGTTTGACGTCGTTAGGTCCCCTGCTGTCGGAATATCTCTGGACCTGCTTCAGAATTTCTGAAGTTCTGGACGTCAAATATGTCCACCTGAACCTGATAACCACTAAAGTGTTTCCCTTCCTACGGGTCACAATAGTCTTATTTAGGCGCTCGGTCTGTTCTTTCCCTGCTACTTCAAGAATGAGGTCTCCGCTCCTGGTCTTTTGACACTAATCCCCTCCTTCTTCCTGTCTACGCTACCCTCTATTTGTTTAAGCAACTCGACGTAAGATTTTCCACCTTCTTTCACGATCACTTTCTACGTCCCCGTCCTATTTTCTTCTTGTCCATACTTCTCCAGCATGAGGTGAAGGTCCATACCTCTAAAGGTGACTTCAAGGAGCTTTCTGAGATTCCTACCGCTGTAGCCGCCCACTACTTTTAGGAATGCCTCTCTGGTCCCTACAATCTCTATCTCTTCCCTCAATTTAGACATAATTGCCAGTAGTCTCTTGTCCCCATCTATTCCTGTCTCCCCTTTTCCACAGGGACCATAAAAATGGTCTGACGGCTTCCTCGGTTTTCCTCCTCCTGGCCCTTCCTTGTAATTGTGATTATAGTGTTAAGCTGGAAGTATTCCACTTGTCCTGTTCTATATGTACCTTTAGTATATTCTAATGCTACCTTAGAACTTCCGATATTTTTGTTTATTTAAAGTTATGCAAATCTTTTCAAGTACAAAGACTAGAAAATAATTTTGGAATGTTAAAAAATAGTATGAATTTAAAGTGTTTCTTACTTTATTAGCTTGTCAATATTTAAATAGTTAATTTCAGCTGCTTGATACTGAAAATCGCCACCCATGGCATACAGAATATTTTTGGTTCTAAAATACGAAGAGTAGTTGGCAATATGAGCCGCAAACTCTTCAACCTGAAAGGAAAAAGTGGTTTCAATTATAAGTAGTTTCCTTAGAAAAAGTATTATATCTTACCTTTTTATCTAAGTTGAAGTCAAAACTGTCGGGATCGTCGTTAATGGCGTCTGAGTTGCATTGAAGATAATCCCAGCAAAAATCACTTGGTGCATAATAGCTGTCCATAATACTTGTAAATATATTGCTCTCCTCTAAAAATATATTTATTCTACATGTCTAAAATATTGCTAACGGGAATCACAACTAATAGATTAACTAAACTCTTTTACTAGACTATTTTTAACTGATAAAACGTCATAGCAACGCCACGTTTCCTACTGACAAAACTCCTTCCTGCCCGTGATTTCTCAGCGACAAGATTATGATAGATCCGTCACGAAGGTGTCTGGAAATTCTATTGTGGTCAGTTTGACAAACATTTGGATGATAATCAGGTAAAGAAATAAAAACATTGGTTGGGGAAAATGTCCCATTGAACACGCAGATGTCTAAAAGCTCTACTTGGACCCAATTTTCTAAGTTCCTACGGGTGAGAAATGTTACGCTTGAAACATGTACTTCCATAATGAAACTAACAAAAATTCTCGTAGATTATGCCTTTCTATCTATCTAATTAGCCTTCTTCGGTCCATCTTTGGACATAGGCCTCCCCAATCCTTTTCCATTCTTCTCTGTCTGTCGCAACAGTCATCCATCTAGAGCCCACGTGCTTCTTGATATCATCTGCCCATTTCATTTGGGGCCTTCCTCTGCTTCGTTTATATTCCCACGGTCTCTAACTTATAAGAATTTTGTTCCATCGGTCTTCTTTTTGTCTTATATTGTGTCCGGCAAATCTCCATTTCAATTTTGCAACTTCTTGTCTAACATCCCTCACTTTTGTTTTCTCTCTTATCCACTCGTTTCTCTTCTTATCCATTAGTCTTATGTGCAACATTTGTCTTTCCATTGCTTTTTGGGTTTTTATGATTTTGTCCATGTTTGCTTTTGTAAATGTCCACGTTTGGGAGTCATACGTAAGAACAAGGAGTACGCATTGATTATATACTTTGGTCTTAAGATGCTGTGGATATCTTTTGTTTTTAAAAATGTAGCTTAGTTTGCCAAATGCCGCCCATGCCAGTCTAACTCGTCTCTTGATCTCTGCTGTTTGGTTCTCTTTGTTAAGTTTTATAGTTTGACCAAGATATATATAATCCTTAACTTGTTCTATTTCATCTTGTCCGATTCTCATTGTGATGTCTTCATCTGTATTTGTTATAGTTTTGGTCTTGCTGTAATTCATATTAAGGCCTATCTTTCCAGATTCTACGTCCAGTTCTTTCATCATTTCAAATAATTCATCTTTTTTATCGGTTATCAATACGATGTCATCAGCGTACCTTAGATGGTTTAAGCGTTGTCCACAAATTTTTATACCTTTTTTTTTCCCATTCTAATCTTTTAAAAGGATCTTCAAGAGCCTGATTGAAAAGTTTCGGTAATATTGTATCACCCTGTCTCACGCCTCTACTTATTTGTAGTGATTTTGTTCCTTCATATACTTTAATTTTTGTTTTGGCTTCCTTATATATATTGGTTATTAGTTCCGTATATCTGTGGTCAATTCGGCTGTTAATCAAAGAACTTTTCACTGCCCAATGTTCGACACTGTCGAAAGCCTTTTCGAAATCTATGAACGCCATATATAGAGGAATGTGGTATTCATTTGCTCGTTCTATCATACATTGGTTAAAATTTTTGTTAGGAGTTTATACATTACATTGAGGAGTGTTATAGGACGGTAGTTTTTTATATCTGCTTTATCCCCTTTCTTGTGTAGGATAATGGTTACTGATTCCTTCCAGTTGTTTGGGATTCTTTTTTCTTTTAATATCCTGTTAAAAAGGGAATGTAGAGTATTAATTACCACTTTTCCACCATATTTCAGCATCTCTGTAGTTACTCCACCTTTTCCAGGCGATTTGTTGTTTTTCATTTCTTTCAATGCCTTCTTGATTTCTGATTTGCTTATTTCGGGCTGCAGCTCTGAGTTGACATTTTTTATTTTGACCTTAAGTTGGTTTTTAATTTCTTCTGGTGGTTCCTTTTTTGTTTTATATCATTCTGAGTAGAAATGGTGGATTATATTTATGATGTCATCTTTAACGTTTGTTTCTATTCCATTTACATCTTTTATTTTGTTAATTTCAAACTTACCTAATTTCGGCCTTAAGCATTTCATATTTTTGTTGTTTTGTATTACTTCTCCTATTTTTATTTCTTGTTCTTTTCTCTTACTTTCTTTTATCATTCTGATTATTGTTTTATTAATTTCTACATATTCTATAGATTTCCTTTTGCCTTCTTCGTTCAGCTTCCTTCTTTTATCCATAAGCTTATTTGTTTCTGTTGATATATAGTTGTTCTTTTTTAGATCCTTCTTTGCTATTTCTTTTCCTGATGTAATCATTGTTGCTGTAAGTATGTTGTCTATTTCGTCTATATCTTTATCGTCACTGTCTAATCTTTGGGTAAGTTGTTTTTTTAATAGGTCTTTGTATATCTCTTTATATTGACCTAGTTTGTTTCTATCTACTAGATTCCAGTTTCTACTTATTTTTCTTTTCATCTCATAGTTACCGTCAATACTAATTTTTGCTCTGACCATCCTGTGATCGCTACCTGTTGTGAATCTGTTAAGAACTGTTACATCTTTAATGATATATCGTTCCGTAGACAGTATGTAGTCGATCTCATTTTTTGTGGATCCATTAGGGCTGATCCATGTCCACTTTCGTTGGGGCTTCTTTTGTAAAAGGAGTTCATTGCGTATAGATGCTTTTCTTCTAGATAGTTCATCAAAGTATCACCTCTATCATTTCTCTGGGCATACCCGAAATCTCCTATTTTAGTTTCTTGTTTGTTTAGGTTTTTACCCAGTTTGGCATTGAAATCTCCAATTACTAGTGTAAGATGATTTTTATGTTCTTCCATAGCCTTTGATATATCTTCATAAAATAGTTCGATATTTTCTTCATCATAAGCTGTCTTGGGGACATATACCTGGATAATTTTAATTGATGTTCTTCTTATTTTAAGTATGACATAGGCGACACGATCTGATATACCTTTGATAATTTGGACGTGCTTACTTATAGCTTTATTTATTATAAATCCTACTCCAAATTTACTATTCATTTCATTTCCTTTATAATATAGTAGATTACCAGATTTTAGCTGTATTCGGTTTTCTTCTTTTCTTCGAGTTTCTGATGGGCCTTTAACGTGAAAAAATACAATGGCGAAGACCATAAAGAGTCATCTGTAAAGTCAATGTGGAATACTACATCAGAAATAGCACAAGAAAAACATTTTACGCAGAACGGCAGAAAAATCGACTTCTCTATAGATATATCCTTTAAATGTGCAAGATTAGCTAGATATACCTAGCGAAGGCAGCTTCAAAGTGTTGAAGAAAAAGGAAAACTTAACCCTACACTGCACGGGGTAACAGATATGACACGTCTTGATTTCAAAGCAGCTACACTACGCAGTATGTACATTCTGCTACAACCTTATTTATAATGATTATAAAGTCGGATTTAGTCTAAAGCTATTTTCAATGAAATAACGGACCATATTCCTCGCATTGGCATTTACAGGATTAGCACGTCCGGAAGCTTGTACAAAGAATTTAGTTTTGTGGGTGTTATTTACAAGTTATTGTGTTGCAGTTTTTTTTAAACAAATACTAGTCAGATTTCCACTGAGAATGGAATTGAAATAGGTTGTTACATATCTGACACATTACGCATGAGAGTAACTATTTGAAATATTTGTAAGTTATTTTTCAATTGCTTGTGCTTGAACAAAATATACTTTTGTTGCAGGTTTTTAGCCATGTCTAACCGCTTCAGACCTCTTACTCAAAAGGAACTTGAGGAAGCAATCCTCAATTTGACAGACAGTGAGGACGAGCTCGATGGTAAACTGGATGAACTAGACGAAGATGATCTAGATGTTTTATATATGCCAGTAGAATTGGAAGATGGAGTTGTAATACAACCAGAATAATCAACATTTGATGGTATCAAGAGATTATCCCAATCATGATCGTTTACATAAATTTTGGCCCATTAACGATAAACTCAACAGAAAATTTTAGTCAGTTCCTCTTTAAAAATATGTATCTGTTGATGAACAGCTATATGCCACCAAATTTCGATACCATATGAAGCAATATCTTTCAGCGAAACCCCAGAAATGGGGACACAAATTGTATGTTCTCTGTGAAACGGAAGGTTTTTCATCTAGTTTTGAAATTCAGTTCTACAGGTTCTACAGGTTCAGAAAACGATCCGAAATTTCGTGAGATAAATAAACCCGACATGGGATCAAGTGCCAAAGTTGTTGTCAGACTTTGCCAAATAATACCTTGTAATGAAAATTACAGAGTATATTTTGATCATTTTCATACTTGGATACTTTTGATGGTCTACCTATTGCAACGTGGTATTTACTCGTTGGGAACAGTAAGACGATTGAGATTACCTACCTGTAAGCTACCTTCTCACCAGCAACTAAAAAAAGAACCCAGAGGATCTTCTCAAGAATTCGTATGTGATATTGACGATGTTGAGGTATCTTCAGTAATTTGGCTGGATAAAATACCTGATACATTTCTATCAACATATAAAGGTAAAATGCCAATAATTGAGGCCAAACATTGGGACAGAAAGCAACATAAGTACGTCACCATTGAATGTCCAAGATTGGTTCCTGGATATAATGCTCATATGGGTGGAGTTGACGTTATGGACAGTTATATTGGTCGTTATAAGATAAAAATGTGGACAAAAAAATGGTATCTCCGGTTATTTTATCACCTCATGGATACGACTGTTGTCAACAGTTGGCTTCTCTATAGAAGATGTTGTGTACTTCAAGATCATTAATGTTTAACTCAGCCCGAATTTAGGGCTGAGATAGCCCAATGTTTATGCAAGGCTAACAGTATTAATATTTTTCATCAAAGCATCGAGAAACTGCTGCAAGGAAAAAGAAGAAAATCGGCAACTGTGAGTTTTGTACCTGCAAAAGACATCAGAACTGACTCCATTGGTCACTGGCCTACATATGATGAAGCCAGACAAAGGTGTAAATTACCAACATGTAGGTCAGTCTCCTTCATAAAATGTTCTAAATGTGGTATACATCTTTGTTTAAACAAAAATAATAACTGCTTTGTAAAATTTCACAAGGACTAAGTTTTTTACTTTGATGCGCAATGTAACAGATATGTTACAACATTTTTTTATATAATAAACTAATTTTCCAAAAGAAATTTTCTTTTATTTTTTTCTTGTTTTGTAGACACAATTATATTGTCCAGATTTTTTTAGAAACGAAATAAAAAATTGCGCAGTATAGGGTTAATATAAAAGCATTTATCGACGAAAAACTTTTAAAAATCATCCAAAGCTATGACGAGGAAACCTCCGATGGAGCACAAAAAAAGTTTTTTTCACCTTTACTCATTTGAACTTGCTTAGAGAGGCAACGAGACCGTAAACTGCAAGATTTACTTTTTCCAGAAGGAATTTGATGTTATGGGAGAATTTACGAGCCAAATTGAATACAACAGCATTTATACATATCAGTCGAAAATAATGCCGGCAAAATATTCTCTCTTATGATTTTACATACGAAAAAAACTGTTACCGAAATTATCATTGCTCGTCCACAGGAACTCCAAATCTTGTGTCTGTTTTCTAGCCAATCTATCATCTTGGCTTAGACGTGTGAAGAAAATGGCATCGTATCCCATTTGTTTGAATAATGACGCTTGCTCTCTGCTGTGACCAAACGGATCTATTTGCCATCCGACCTTGGGCCGTCCACATTCACCTAAGGTATCGTTTAGTAACCTGAAAAAAATATATGTAATAATAAATAAATCAAATACAAAATATAACAATATCAATCATACATTGGCAAATAGAACAAGCCTAAACATATCAGCTATAATGGAGTTATTAACATTATGTACTGATAATACATATTTTCAATTAAATATGACTTCTGGGCTCTAGTTTGTCTCCATTATTAGTCGATATATTTATGGAGGATTTTGAAACATATATTGTTTTACAAAATTTAAAACCCACAGTACGGTGAAGATATGTAGATGATGTATTTTCAATATGGCCTCATGGATCAGAGTTGTTGGACACATTCCTGAATGATATAAACGATAAAGAAGAGACAATAACATTTACTATGGAAAAGAAGTATAACAACACACTACCTTTGCTGGTTGTTTTATTCTCTAAGAACGATACTGGATATCAGACTCAGATGTATAGAACCAACACACACCACCAGATATTTAAATTTCAAATCAAATCACAATATTAATATTAAAAAGGGAACCATTCAATCCTTATACGATAGAGCCAAAATTGCTTATTCTATCGAAAATTCGTTCTTGGAAGAAAAACATTTGTTAACCTCTGTTTTATTAAGAAATAATTATCTTTTATCGTTTATAAATAAGGCATTTTCAACAATTAACCGAATAGCACAGAACAACTTAGAACGAGATCCTACAGCATACACAAGGAATAATACGAGAAATATAACAAACAATACCATACATAAAAGTATTATCAGAAAAACTTAAAAGGACAGGAAATAAATTCAACATTTCAACAACTTCCAAAACAACAAACACATTGAGATCTATTTTGTCTAAAACCGAACCTAACAATGAACAAAAAAAACAAAGAATTGTATTTATGAAATACCTTATGAATGCGATCAGTTTTATTTAGGTGAAACCTCAAGGCCATTAAATGTAAGAATAAGTGAACATCAATCTCACATTAAAAATACAGAATTTGATAGATCTCAAATATGTAAACACGCATTGGATAATGAACATGGGGTTCAATGGAATTATTCAAATATAGTCCTAAAAGAAACGGATGGTAAAAAGAGAAAAATCAAAGAAGCGGCTCTAATTATGCTAAATGAGGCCAATTGTGTCGCAAATTCCTCGGCATAGAGGATACATCATTTATGTTTTTTTTTGTTTTTTTTTTGTTTTTTTTTTTGTTGATGTATTTTATTTGTATGTTTTTCAAACAACAATCATATAAAATCAGAATTTGGTATTTATGGAAAGTAAATTAAATGTACAATCAAATACGTACCATGTCGGGATAGTATTATAAGGTTGTTTCCTGGTTTTTCCCTCATAATTTACTATGGAATCACTAACATGAGAATTTTACTGTCATCATGGCAAATGTTTGTCTTTTTAAAGACGAATTACATTCTATGATTTTTTTCCGACGGATATTCTCAAGTTAAAGTTGATATCATGTAATCAAATAAACTATGTTACAAGTAAAGTCGTTCCAGGAACGCAACTCAACAATATTGGCAAAATCATTTTAAAGTCGCCTACTTTAAAATGTATGAATGTTTGAATTGTCAATATAAGTGAGTTAGATAAAATTAGATTATTAGCAGAATTTTTTCACCAAGTAAACAAAATTTGTTTCATTTACTAATATTTAATTTAATTTAATTTAATATTTTAATTTTACAAAAATTTAATTTGTGTATTTTGAAAACTATTTTCGAAGTGGAAATTGAAACATATTTTAGCATATATGATTTTAGCATATATTTCAATATGCTTAAGAAAATTTTCTATTGATATACTTTTACCATAAAAAAATATACATAATCAAAATTACCTTAGGCCCCATGTAAATTGGTTGATAGTTGATTGATAGTTAACGCAAGCTTCGTCATTCATTGACCATCCTCCTCCAACCAATTCAATCTGCCCGTTGTCAACGAATTTTTTGAACAACTGTCTTTTGTTTTCCGGTTGGATTTGCCACCATTTCCAGAAAAAGGCAGTCTCAACTTGTATGTATCTAAAAATGTGAATTTTTTAATAAATATTCCTTCTACTAAGTAAAGTACTTTTGAAAGTCGAACTTTCTTCTCTGTTCTAAGGAATTATATTAAGCTTAGTCTTTTTGGCCTCAAGATCACTTGTATACTGTTAATTATTCACTGCACTACTACTATATTAGTAAAGGGTGTTTTTTTAGAGGTATAGAAATCTAAGTTGGTAAAACTTTTTTAATTTTCGGCCATTTTGACAGCTCTCAAGTAATTTATGTTAAGTTGGGTTTGAAATTTCAGCGTAAACAGACCAGTGGCGACCGGTCAGGGTCGGCAGTGCCGACCCACATCTTTATAGATATAGATTTTTTTAATATTTAATTTAATCAGTATTTCAATAAATAATTGTGGCAGGTAATCAGTTGATGTCATTTGTTTTTGTGAACTAAAAAAAATATCTGTGAGATAATAAAGACTAAATTTTATTCATGGTTTTTAAAAGAATTCGACCAGACTAAATTTTATTCATGGTTTTTAAAAGAATTCGTCCAATCTTAGCGTTAAGTGATCCCTACGTAGACAATTTTCAAATAGTAGATGATTCGATATCGGAGACATCCATCCGCCTATGAATTCTTAAAAAAGCACGTTTTGTTATTTCGGCTAGCCGATCCCAACCTTGACTTTACTTGTAAAAATCAACGGAATATTGGTTGATTAGCAACCAAATATACATTTCTTTCCATATAAACTTAACTACCAAGTGCGGCAAATTTGAATTTGCCGATGTTTCATTTGGATTGGTGATTGGTCGCGAACTGTACATTGCGAGCGTGGGACGAAATGTTATTTCATATATGTATTAAAGTGAAGTCCACAAGGAATCTACGTTCCTGTAAAGTGATATTCAGTGCACGAACTAGACTTTCTTTTTGTGATTTATTTTTATTTTCTAAAGTAATACTGTGATACGTTACGTCTGCCATAAATAGTTAAAGGGTTTTTTGACGTCTTAGAAGTTTTTTTTTAATTAAAGTGTAAACAAATTCAGGTAAATTAACCTAAAAAATGTAAGCCATGGGAGAAATTGTAAGTATTGATAAGTCCGATAATGGGTTTTCATCTATTCCATACGAAGAACAAGTTATTAAAAATAAGGGGCGTCCTTTGCCTAAAATGTCCCGGCTTATAAATATTAGTGCGGGTAAGGGAAGTAATAGATCATTTTCAGATAATTGGTACAGCAAGTACTCATGGCTTACCGGGAGTGAAATAAAAAACAAACTTTTCTGTTGGCCTTTTCGACAAATAGGGGCAAACATAAAAATCCGTGGTGTGAATCTGGTTACGATAATTTAAAGGAATTATTTAAGGCTTTACATAAACATGTTATTTCGAAAGATCATACTTACAGCCAGATTTAATTAGATTTATTTGGAAAACAAAATATCTATGTTTCATTAGATAATGCTCAACGTGAAAATGCTATTAAACATAACGAAATTGTAAAACATAATCACGCAGTCTTACGTCGTTTAATTGATATTGTAATTTTTTTAAGTTGTCAGGAATTACCTTTTAGGGGATACGATGAATCAGAGAATTCGTTAAATCAAGGTAATTATAGAGAACTAATAAAAATGTTTAAGAAATACGATTTGAAATTTTCTAATTTACTTTCTGATTCGAAGACATTTAGCGGTGTATCTAAAACAATTCAGAATGAATTAATAGAATCAATTAGTTACATTTTGAGTAACGTTATTGAATCTGAGATTCAGGAAACCATTTGCTTTTCACTAGAAGTAGATGAAACTACCGACATATCATGGCATTTACAATTATCAATTGTTGTTCGATACGCATTACGTGGAAATATCTATGAGAGGTTTTTAGGTTTTACAGATGTGAGTAAAAGCCATAAGGCAGAACATATTTTTGGTGTTTTAAAGGACAGATTAAAATTTTTTGATATCAAAAATAAATTGGTAGGGTAAACTTATGACGGCGCTGCTGTGATGTCTGGTGAATTAAATGGTCTCCAGGCAAAAGTTAAAACTATTGCACCGCAAGCTTTATTTACTCATTGTCATGCGCATAGAATGAATTTAGTTTTGCAAGATACATGTAAAAAAATGAAAAAATGTCGTCTTTTTTTTTGCCAGTTTAAGCGGATTTGCTTCATTTTTCTCAAGCTCGCCTAAACGGACTAATGTTTTAGAACGGTTTGTTTCGAAAAAAATGCCAACAGTTTGTCAGACGCGATGGAATTTTAAATCTCGGTCAGTTTTCACTGTAGCAGATTTTCGTGAACAGCTTTTGAAAGTTTTTGATTTTATTATTGAATGTGACGATTTTGAAAGTGATGATATCTCGATCCGTGAAGCAATCGGTTTGAAAACTTTACTAAATGACTCTTTTAACATACTTTTAAATATTTTTAAGAAAGTGTTTACCCAAACCGATTTGATATTCAATGTTGTTCAAAATCAGTTAACTGACATTATTCATTCCAAATATAGAATAACAAGACTGGTCCAAAATCTCAGAGGTTTTCGTAATGATAGTAATTTCCAGTATATACGAAGTGACGTTTTGGACTCGCTTGATATTTCCGAACCCCAAAAAAAAATGACAAAGGCATGACACAGAATCAGATCTCGAAAAACGAGTATATTTTAAAATTTTGGATACTATTATTATGCAAGTAGATACTCGTTTTTTGAATTTTGAAGATTTGCAAATTTTTGACCTCTTTGACGATTCAAAATTTAAAAGTTACGCCAAAGAATTTCCAAGATATTTATTAGACAGGTTAATTGAAAATTATCCATCATTCTTTAATAAAATAAAATTAGAAAATAAATTAAAAGTTTTATATGCTGATCCAAATATTTTCGGAAAATGGGATAAGTTACAAGATATGTATAATTTTATATACTGCAATTCATTACAACCAACTGTTACCGAAATTAATATATTATTGTCATTAATTCTCTCATTACCACCAACGTCTGCCTCAAATGAACGAGATTTCTCTTGCCTCAAAAGAATAAAAACTTATTGTCGAAATACCATGAAACAAGAGAGAATGTCAAGCTTGTCTCAAATGTCAATAGAAAAAAAATCTTTAAAATCTCTCCAAAACTCTAATAAATTTTACGATGACGTTATTACCCATTTTGCTACTTCCAAACAACGTAGACTAGAGTTAATTTATAAACATGTTTAGGTTTTAAATTTGTAGGAAAAACAAAAAAAAAACAAAAAACAAGAAAACAAAAAATCTCCTATGATGAGTGAAGTCTTTATTAGACGGTATACCTATCTGAGGAGACAAAAAATACCTTGCCGACCTTGTCTCTCAAGCCACGAGCCGCCACTGAAACAGACTTGACTCCCGAACAACGGTTCCAAATTGTACAAATTTATTTTGAAAATTGTAGTTCTGTTCGAAATACATGTCGCGCACTACATCCATTTTATGGTCAACATAATAGTCCATCACAACAAGTAATTGGATTAACCATGAAACTTTGTGCACCACGTATACTCTAAATGATACTGTGCATCCACAGACATGTCGTACAGTGCGTCAGAAAAAGTTGTAGCTGCTGTAGAGCGAAGCATACAGAAAGACCCAAATCAATCTATTTGCCATCGTGCACAGCAGTTGTTTACGTGTCCATCCACTTTATGGAAGATTTTGTGGAAAGAGCTTTCTTTGAGTGCTTACAAAATTCAACTCATTTAATCACGCAAGAACTGAAGCATCCCTGCAAATGCGAGCCACGCTTTGCTCTCAATTCTTTACTGAGAGAAATCATCCCATTCATTTGCGAATTGGGCAGTAGCGATTATCAGTACCAGTTCAAGGCGTAGAGGAAATAATCCTGGACCGGCTTGAAACTGGATACCAGGGAAGAACGATGAATGTAAAAGATAAGCAAGGAAACCTGATAGTGGACGAAGACCAAATATGTGAAAGGTGGAAAGTGACTACTGAAGAAAATTTTTATGTTTCTAAATCTTAAATAGTAATAAAAGAAATACCAAAGCCCACAAGAGAAGAAATTGAAGAAATAATAAAAGATATGAAAAATCAAAAAAGCCCCAGGGAGAGCGGCATTGTGGCAGAGAACATAAAATATGGAGGAGAGGCCTTAATAAACAAACTTGGTGAGCTAATACTAGAAGTATGGGATGTCGAAGAAATGCCTTACGAATGAGATAAGTCGATTATAATTCCTATACACAAAAAGGGAGACAGAACTGAATGCGCAAACTATAGGGGAATATCCTTATTAGAGGTAATATATAAAGTATTCGCCATACTAATTCAAAAACGATTAAAAGTATACATAGAAAAGAATCTAGGGGAATACCAGGAAAGAAAGATCAACAACCGATCAAATTTTTATGATAAAACCAATCCTGATCAATTGCTATGAATACAACATTTCAGCACAAGTACTTTTTATTGATTACAAAGCTGCCTACGATACAATAGGCAGAAACAAGTTAGTAGAAACACTAAAAGAATTTTAAGTGCCAGAAAAAATAATAAAATTCGTAAAAATGACCATTATATTATAGACAAACCATTTGTACTATGAGATGCAAGGGTACAGTCTCAGAAGAATTCGAAGTGAAAAAAGGTGTTCTCCAATGAGACCCGTTGTCTACAACGGATTCAATATAGTTCTAGAAAAAATTGTAAGGGTTAGTGGGATAAATAGGTCCGGAACTATTTTATACAAGGAGTACCAATGCTTAGTATACGCTGATGATGTGGTTCTCATTGCAAGAAATGGAAAAGAACTATCAAACATAGCAAAAAGACTAATTCGGGAAAGCTCTAAAATGAGACTGAAAGTTAATATTAATAAATCGAAGTACATAGAGATCCAACAAAATAGGAATACACACCAGGGGATCCTTTAAATTGGAGGTAGAGGATGGATCAGTTGTAGAATTCGAGAACGTGGATGAATATATGTACATAGGTATTATTGATCAGACATGTAAGGAAGAAACTGAAATCAACTTGAGATTGTCCAAGAGGAACAGGTGTGCTGGAGCCATGAGCAAAATAATTAAGACCAACAATATATCTCGTAATACAAAAATAAGAGTATACAAAACTATAATTATACCCATAATGCTATACGCTGCCGAGACCATGGACTATGAACAAAACCATACAGAACACATTGGAAGCATAGGAAAAAAAGATATTTCGCAGAGTATTTGGTGGAAAACTAGAAGAGGGACAATGGAGAAGACGAACTAATGCAGAAGTGTACCATTTGTATGCTAATCCTACAATAATAAAAGTGGTGAAAAAACGAAGACGAAAATGGCTCGGTCATCTAGAAATAAAATAATGCAAGGTAATAGACTAGTCAAGAATATTGCTTGGAGAATACTCGAGGGCAAAAAAGAGAGAAAGACCAAGAAAGAAATGGAGAGATGTAGTTATGAAAGATGTCAGAGAGATGGGAATCAGATATTAGAAGCTGTTAGCTAAGAATAGAAAACGATGGAAATTATCCATACAACATCCAACAAAAGGTCTGTTAACGCTGTACATACAATATTGGAATAATTTTTCTTTAATCTTAAAATCCAGTAATGAGTTATAGCTTGTTTTAAGGTAATGCACTATTTTACCGTACGATGCATGAGGTGTAGAGGCTCAACCATTTTGAATATTGTTCCGAATACAATGCAAATCTATAACCGAGAACCGAAGACGAAGAAACAAACTGCTCAATCTTCTTTCAATCATATCCGATACATGTTGAATGGGAATGGCAATACATTGCCGGCTTCCCCGTAAAACCCGAAAAACATTCAAGAATTTGTACGTCGTAGAAAAAATTTCTCACAAACAACGCTTGGAGCGACCAACAATTTTGAACGTCAGTGTCGTGCGTGAAATCAATATTCAATAAAATTTATATCAACTCTATGGTAAAAATTTGATATCTTTTGATCCAAGTGTCCTGTCGACAGAAATCAAAATGCGTTTTAAACGTCAAGAGTGCAGCTTTCGTATGCACGTTTTGTGTTTTGTCGCCAATAGTTAGTTTTTATAAAGGTGTTATATAAATAAATTTTTCGCGATTTTTGACATTTTTTTAATAAATGTCGATATATTCGAATAATTTCGATAGATGTTATCACATTTATTGGTTTGACATCCTTTTATACATTTCATTTTTGTAATTTTAAGAATATCAGAACGTGATCCAGCGTAATTTGGTTGTTTGCTTTTTTGCGTCTGTACTCACATATGCCTGTATTTTTCCCTATAAACCCTTCAGTTAGTACCTGCTCTATGTTTAACGTTCTAAGTACTACCAAGAAGCTGGATTGCCTCGACATTCACATGACTATGCAGCCTCTGCTCGTGACTTGCTGCTGTTCTCTTGATTATTTCGATCACAGTTTCCATACCCAGGTCCTGGCGGAGGTTGCTGTTACGGATATTCCAAGGAGCATCAACAATGTTTCTCAGTACTTTGTTTTGAAATCTCTGGATAATAATATGTAGATTACTAGCTTTGGTACAGCACCAGAGTTGGCACCCATATACCCATACTGGCCTCAGTACTTGCTTGTAGATGGATAATTTATTACTAATTGATAATGTTGAATTTTTTTTAATCAACCAATAATATATTTAATATCAAGCTCCCCTCTTTTCTTTTTGACATGGACTTTCCAGCGCAGCTTCGCGTCTAGGGTGATGCCCAAGTGTTTTGCTAATGTTGCATAATGAATTCGGGTATCATTTATTCTAACTGGGAAATTTTTTATTTTTTATTTGTTAAGTTAATGTGTGCAGATTTAGTCTCATTTAATTTTATTTGGCATTTTCTGATCCAGTTATGTATTTTATTTACTGATAGTTGCAACTTATCAGTCGCTTCCTCACTAGTGTCTCCTATCGCTAGTATGGCTGTATCATCCGCGAAAGTGGCAATAGTATTTTGTTCTAGCACTGGAATGTCACACGTATACAATAGGTACAGGACAGTACCTAAGACACTCCCTTGTGGCACACCAGCTTTGATCTCCCTTAAGTCGCTGTACACTTTTTCTTGTTTTACTCTGAAATATTTATTCGCGATGTATGATTTCAAGATTTCTGAATACTGTTTAGGCATGAACATTCTTAGTTTATAATTTCAATCTAAAAGCAGCATTTATTAGGTATATCAGCTTAACTATGGCTTTTCTTGATAGATTTTTTAATAATTCTCCTGTTATGAGATCATATCCTGAAGCTTTCTTAAGATTTATATTTTTTTTATCTCTGTTGATACTTCTCGTAGTGATGTCAACGTTAGTATTTCTTCAGTTTGGAATGGTTCTTTCCAGCTCAGTTCTTCACCATCATTGTCGTTGGATTTGAACGTGCTTTCTAAATGATCTGCAAATCATTCTGCTTCGTTACTTCTAGCCCAGTTGCCGTTTTCCAACTTGATAGGAGCAGAATGAATAATTGGTCACTCCGTTCTTTTTGTTGCCTTCCATAAAGAATAATCTGTGTTCTGGTCAGCTGCTAAATAACTTAAAAAATAATTAATTGTTGAATTTTTTATTTTTTTTTAGTTTTTGTGTAACACTATTTAGACTAGTTTTGTCTCGTGGAGCTCTGTATTGCTGCCATTTTTTTCTTAACTTCCTTTTTTCTACTATGGGTTCTCGGATTTTTTTTAAATAGTTATTCCCTTTTGAGATTAATTTATAATAATAATTAATTAGAAAGATTAATTTTGTGTTCTAGGTTTATTTTGAACCTCTCCCAGTCAGTTTTTTTATTAGTCAATATTGACTTAAAATTCGGCGTAAAATCGAAGTGTAAATTCGAAGTATGTAATTATTATATTTGCGTAATATACTAAAATATGAAATATATAAAAATAAAAAAAGTGACATACCTAAGGATGCTTCTAACTGATTAGATAATTCAAATTCAGTAAATATTGTGTGAATATAAATTTTTCCACAACTACTAAGCAATCCAAGATTATCGAACTTTTTAATTAGATATTAAAATTTTAATACAACTTATTTATTTACGAGTACAACAAATCTGTTTTAATTTAAAATATAAAGAAGACAAAAATGTAAAGCAAAAAATAAATAAATAAAAATATACTTACCTTCTTTTATCGTTCTGTTTAAGAGCTTGTAAAACAGAATCCAAGACATATTGTACACCAGTGTTATGTATATCGTTTCTTTCTGAAAGTTTATATATTATTAACATAGAGTAAAATCAAAAACTCATAAAGTTGTGTCATAAAGCAGAAACTATTGTTTTTTACAAAAAATACATACAATGTATCGAAGCATCAGATGATAACACAGAGTAGGTTTGAAGTTGGAAGGTGGTTAGAGGCTGGTAAGGGGTCTTGAAGGCGACATAAATCTGCCGATGCTCTTGTCGTAACAAAATTTAAGAAATGCCCACTGTTTTACAAAGAATGAGTTGGAGGTTTTAGAAATAAAACTCAGCTCTGCCAGCAAATCCTATTCTCAGGTCCACGAAGACATACAATGTCGCGTAACCACTGGGTGCATGTCGTATAACGGGAGTGCAATATGTAGCAAACGAGAGAGGATAAAAGGCGAGACTCTGGCGCCTAAAAACTGGAATATCGACTAGGGGAATAAACCCCAACAGAAAATTCGGTCCTCCAAGGATGGGGGTTAAGTCATAAGGCCAGCGACCTTACACAAATTCTACAGTGCTAAAAAACCCAGTGAGCCTCGGTTACCGGACGGAAATTATAATAGACGAAAACAGCAACAAAAATGGACCATGATTTACGGACTTTGGAATATACAGGGAATCCGGAACAAGCAACAAGAAATTATGCAGGAATTCGTAAATCGAAGATTAAATATAGCCATTCTCTCTGAGACCAAGAAAAAAGGAAATGGAAGCGCAAAATTAAAAAACGATACACATTTGTTCTCAGGAGTGGGAAAGGATCAAAAGCAAGAGCAGGGATATCAATATTTGTACACAAGAAATTTGAAAAATATATTAAATCTTGGGAAGCATACAATGAACGTTTTATTAAAGTGACGATTCTCCTAAGAGGAACACAAATAACAAATCTGGGGGTATATACCGTAAATGATAACTACTCAGTACAAGAAAAGGAAACTTTTGAAGAAGACTTTGGAAAAATCCTGAACGAAATTCCTAACAGCCATGAGATTATATGCGGAGGAGACCTTAATGCCAGAGTAGGAAAACAAGAACAAAGTAAAGTGGTAGGCATGCATGGAGAAGAAACTGTTAACAACAATAAAGAAAGACTCATAAATATATGCCAACAATATGAGTTAAAAATTTTGAATGGTTTTTTCGCCCACAAGAACATACATAAATACACCTGGTATCGGCACACAACATTATCACACTGCGTGATAATAGGAAAAATATATACATCATTTGTAGGCAGGAGCCACACAAATATCAAAAAAGAATACAGAGAAAAATAGAAAGAACTGCGTACATCTTAGACAATCTAGATAATGAGAGCACACAGTTACTTTACTCCTGAAGACTAACACAAAAAAACTACAGGAGTCACACAGATCAACGACGGATGAATAAGAACATATAAAAAACTGCATGAAAGACGCAGCGTTAGAAGCCTTAAGGCCACAGGTACGGAGAGTAGATAAACCATATTGGTGGGACAAAAAAGTGGAAGAAAAGATAAAAACCAAGAAGGAAGTATATCAAAAGTTATTACAACAGAGAGACGAACAAACAAAACAACAATATAAAAACTTGAATAAAGAAGTCAAACGAGAAGTGGTTAAAAAGAAAAATAGTGCATGGGAACAAAATTGCCAATACCTAGACAACCATATAGGAGGGACAAAGAGAACTGAAGCCTTGAGAACTATAAAAACGATGAGAAACAACAACGACAATAACGACAAAAAACCAAGTCATAATAAATAGAATATTAGAGAAGACATAGGTAGAGCATTTAGAGAACTTATTAACAGAGAGAAGAGAAAGGTTCCAGACCCAGGTGAAATACATCCAGAGTTGATTAGGTATGGATCATCAAAACTGTTTGAAATGATCCGAAAATTATTCGAAAGATGCTTAAACGAGGAGAAGAAGTTCCACAAGAATGGAGACAATCGTATATCTCTCCAATACACAAGAAAGGCACAAAGACGGATCCTAAAATCTATAGAGGCAGTGATTGCTACTATAGGCCGACTGTATTCAAAAGTACTACGAAACTTGATAGAAAATGATATTAAAGACAAACAACCCGAACAAAAAACGGGATTTAGGGCCAGACGCTAAACTATGGATAATATTTTCACATTAAAAATTGTAATGGAAAAACGAGTGAAGCGAAATAGAGAAACGTATATAGCTTTAATAGATTTGGAAAAAGCATATGACAGTGTACCGATCTCCCAACTTCTTCTTCGCGTGCCATATCAGATTTATCTGACGTTGACGATCACTATTGCTAAGGCTTCTCGATCTCCTGCAATATGGAATAATTGTTCTGCATTTGGTATCTGAGTCCATTCACGATTTTTTTTATCCAAGAAACTTGTTTTCTTCCTACACTTCTAAGGCCCTCTATTTTGCCTTTAAAGATCAGTTGTAAAATTTAATATCGACGTCCCCTTACTATATGTCCCAGATAAGACATTTTTCGATGTTTAATAGTCTTTAGCAGTTCTCTGTCTTTGTTGACGCTCCTTAGTACTTCTTCATTAGTTTTTCTTGCTGTCCAAGGTATTTTCAGCATTCGTCTATGAACCCACATTTCCAGTGCTTAAATTTTGTTCATGATCGATACTTTTACCGTCCACACTTCTGCACTATACAAAAGTACAGACCAAACACAGCACTTATTCATTCTTTGCTCTAAACTGAGATGGTCATTGCAAAGAAATGACTTCATTTTCATAAAAGTAGTTTTAGTCATTGCTATTCTACGTCTTATTTCTATGTCTGGATCTAGTTGGTCCGTTATCACAGTTACCAAATATGTCATTTTGTGAACTCTCTCAACTTGCACTCCGTTCAATTGAAGCTTTGCATCGGGATGTGGGTCACGACTAAACACCAAAAATTTGGTTTTGTTTGAGTTTATTTTAATGTCAATTTCCTCTCCTACCTCGTGAATACGATCAAGCAGAATTTGAAGACCTTCAATATTATCTGATTAACTATTAAGTAGTTCCCCGTTGATTTTTATTCCATATGGTTGTCTCTCAAGAGCCTTTTTAAATATCTGGTCCGAGTAAACATTGAACAATTTTGGCGACAAAATGCAACCTTGTCTGACTCCTCGTTGTATGGGGATTTCATCGGTGTAGTTATCTCTAATTTTTACGATAGCAGTTTGATTCCAGTACAAATTTTTAATTATACGAATATCCTTGTCATCTATTCCAATATTTTTCAGTATTTCCATTAATTTTACATGCTGTACTTTATCGAATGCCTTTTCGAAGTCCACGAAACATGCAAATACATCTTTTCTTTGGTCACGGCATTTTTATAATAGGATGTTAAGCGCAAAAAGTGCCTCCCTGGTTCCCATAGCATTTCTAAAACCAAACTGGGTATCTTTAAGATCTTCTTTGCATTTGCGTATAATTCTGTTGTGAAGTATTCTGAGGAAAATTTTAAGAGCGTGGCTCATTAGGCTAATTAATCGATATTTTGAGCATTTTCTCGCATTGTGTTTTTTAGTTATTGCGATAAAGATGGATTCGAGCCACTTCGTTGTTATATATTGAATTAAAAAGTCTTACTACTACTTTTATGTTATCATTCTCTATTAGTTTCAGCAACTCCGTTGGTGTATCATCTGGACCACAAGCTTTTCTAATTTTAGCGTTATTTATAGCACGTTCTACTTCGCATTTCATAATTTCTGGGCCGTCAGTACAGTTTTGGTAGAATTCGGCAATATTATTCCTGTCATCTTCAAACAACTCTAATATATACAGCTGCCATTATTTTCTTATTTCTTGCCCATTTACAATAATTTTGTTATTAGTGTCAACAATTACAGAGGGAACTCGTTTTTTTACATATATTACTCATTTCTTTTAGTTTTTTGTGCATCTCCCAACTATGGATAGAAATGAGTAACTTGAAAATAAACCCAATTTTTATTAACGCCACTAAAAAATACTACGAACAAAACTTTGCAAGAATTAAAACGGGACAAGAAATCACCTCTCCTTTTGAAATAATAAAGGGACTAAGACAAGGCTGCTGTCTATCACCCACCTTATTTAAAATCTATTTGGACAGATCCTTAGTGAAATGGGTAAAAAAATGTAGAAACATGGGAATAACGGTGAAAGAAAACATGGTATATTAACTTTTCTTTGCGGATAATCAGGTAGTAGTTATCGAAGACAGCTACGATCTTAGGTCTATGGTAAGAAAACTGCAAGAAAAATATGAGGTGGCAGGTCTAAACATGAATATGACAAAATGTGTATATCTCTCAGTGTGAACAGATGAAATATGTGACCTAGTCTCTGAAGACAACAAAATCAAAGGCGTACAATCTTGCAAATATTTGGGGGTCATTTTCAACAAGAAGGGAAATTTGCGCAGATGAAATCAGGGAAAGAATAAACAAGAGCAGAGCAGCGACTCGTGCCTTAAACTCGCTTCTCTGGCAAAAAACAATTCGACGAGAAACCAAAAAACACATTTACGGTAGTATAGTCCAAAGTATTACACTTTATCGTTCGAAAGTATGGGACCTCACTAAAGTTAATAGAAACAAACTTATGACGTATGACAAACAATTAATCTGGTTCGGACATGTTAAAAGAATGCCAGAGTACATATGGCCTAGACGAGTACTGGAATAGATCCCTCCTGAAAGAAGATAAAGAGGACGACCACGGAGAAGTTGGCGCAACTATATTGATGAAGCAATGGCAGCAAGAGACTTAGAAGAGGCAACTGCATATGAGAGAAAAAGATGGAAATTGGGGGCGGAGCAGTGGCGACAGCCGTAATCAATACGTTATTAAATATATATATATATATATATATATATATATATATATATATATATATATATATATATATATTAGTATAATGGTAAGGTTAATTGGGTTAGCAGCTGAATAATGAAAGCCAAAGTGTGCTCTTTTCAACGACTTCGCTATATTTCGTTAAATTTCTTTAACATCTTCAGACGAATGCTACAATATGTTACAAAATGGTGAAATTGTGTATTTTACATAAGATGTAGTGAAACACTTACTTGAGTGAGGTTGCAGGCAAAAGTGGTATTTGAAAGTTCCATGTTGAAAAACTTTTTTGAAGATTTTTTATAGCAAAAAAAAGGAATAAATTGTATGCGTTATATGGTGGCTTGAAAACTCAAACAATACAAGTGCATTTTTGTTATTTTCCTCCAGTGTGCTAGTACAATACAAATATTAAAAAACATTGAACATTTAAGAAACAAAACAGTTAAAACACAACTACATATCACATTGTCATTTTTTGGACCAGGTCTAGTCAACCTATGCACAAGGAGGTGGAATTCTAGTATGTACCTCAAGGTTAAGGTGTCTTGTCAGCTATCATATTAGTAGATGTCAGTCAGAAAACTAAAGCTGTGTTCAGTTTATGTGTAAAGTAACATTTAATTGAAAATTATATTATGTTAATTTAAGACAATTAAATTCTGTTATTAATAAATACATATAGAATTTATTTATTTCTTTGTGATTATTTCTTTTAAAGTTATTTTAATTATTGTTATTACTCTTAAGAATTTTATTTCCTGGAAAAATGCAACAATTGCAGTAATAATGATTAAGTTTCTACTTCAATTGGATGGTCAGAAGAGTTTTAATAGACAATATTATACTATTCAGAATATTACAGTTCGTTGACTTGATTATTTTTTGTTTCCAACTGCAGTAGAAAGGAATAAATTTCACTAAGGTGTTGTATATCTGATTTTGTGTTGATTATATTATCTGTTGTTGCTATGTGGGTCATTTCTAAAAAAAGTCTTCTCTTATAAGCTGTTTCTTTTTCGATGATTTTGACATCTGCAAAATTCATTCTGTGGTTATGGGTGTGAACGTGGTTGGCTAGGGTGCATCTATCTGGGTAAAGTCTACAGTCACTTTTGTGAGTGGTAACACGGTCTTTAAGACGTCTAGAGGTTTGGCCGATGTACTTGCCATTGCAGTCCATACAAGGGATACTGTAAACAACATTAGATATTTGGTCATGCGGAGTACGATCTTTCATTTTTGAGAAAATAGAGTTTACTGTTAAAACTGTTTTATTGGCTATTTTGATGTTATCATATGATTTAAAGATTCTAGTTAGTTTTGGTGTTAGTTCCCGTATGTAGGGCAGCACACAATATGTTGGAAGGGTTTGACTGGTAACCGTATTCTGTGAATTCGTACTTGCTATGTTAGAATGTTGGGAGGTAGTTCGATTGATAGATGTTACTGATGTAGTATTATATAAAAGCGTTTTTAAAAGAAGAGGTGGATAGGAATTATCTATAAAGAGATCATAAAGTATTTTGAGATTCTTTTGAAGGAATGATATATCTGAAATTTGTAGAACCATATTTTTCATTTGTTTTACCAAGTTTAGTTTGGTGGAGTGTTTATGATAGGACATGTAGTTAATGTACCTGCCTGAACTCATAGATTTTGTGTACCAATCAACTATAATGATGTTATCATTTGGGCGGATTAGTTTAGTGTCTATATACACTTTTATATAATACTACATCAGTAACATCTATCAATCGAACTACCTCCCAACATTCTAACATAGCAAGTACGAATTCACAGAATACGGTTACCAGTCAAACCCTTCCAACATATTGTGTGCTGCCCTACATACGGGAACTAACACCAAAACTAACTAGAATCTTTAAATCATATGATAACATCAAAATAGCCAATAAAACAGTTTTAACAGTAAACTCTATTTTCTCAAAAATGAAAGATCGTACTCCGCATGACCAAATATCTAATGTTGTTTATAGTATCCCTTGTATGGACTGCAATGGCAAGTACATCGGCCAAACCTCTAGACGTCTTAAAGACCGTGTTACCACTCACAAAAGTGACTGTAGACTTTACCCAGATAGATGCACCCTAGCCAACCACGTTCACACCCATAACCACAGAATGAATTTTGCAGATGTCAAAATCATCGAAAAAGAAACAGCTTATAAGAGAAGACTTTTTTTAGAAATGACCCACATAGCAACAACAGATAATATAATCAACACAAAATCAGATATACAACACCTTAGTGAAATTTATTCCTTTCTACTGCAGTTGGAAACAAAAAATAATCAAGTCAACGAACTGTAATATTCTGAATAGTATAATATTGTCTATTAAAACTCTTCTGACCATCCAATTGAAGTAGAAACTTAATCATTATTACTGCAATTGTTGCATTTTTCCAGGAAATAAAATTCTTAAGAGTAATAACAATAATTAAAATAACTTTAAAAGAAATAATCACAAAGAAATAAATAAATTCTATATGTATTTATTAATAACAGAATTTAATTGTCTTAAATTAACATAACATAATTTTCAATTAAATGTTACTTTACACATAAACTGAACACAGCTTTAGTTTTCTGGCTGACATCTACTAATATGATAGCTGACAAGACACCTTAACCTTGAGGTACATACTAGAATTCCACCTCCTTGTGCATAGGTTGACTAGACCTGGTCCAAAAAATGACAATGTGATATGTAGTTGTGTTTTAACTGTTTTGTTTCTTAAATGTTCAATGTTTTTTAATATTTGTATTGTACTAGCACACTGGAGGAAAATAACAAAAATGCACTTGTATTGTTTGAGTTTTCAAGCCACCATATAACGCATACAATTTATTCCTTTTTTTTGCTATAAAAAATCTTCAAAAAAGTTTTTCAACATGGAACTTTCAAATACCACTTTTGCCTGCAACCTCACTCAAGTAAGTGTTTCACTACATCTTATGTAAAATACACAATTTCACCATTTTGTAACATATTGTAGCATTCGTCTGAAGATGTTAAAGAAATTTAACGAAATATAGCGAAGTCGGTGAAAAGAGCACACTTTGGCTTTCATTATTCAGCTGCTAACCCAATTAACCTTACCATTATACTAATTAATAATTGGACAGCTGTGATCATTCTTCGTTTATATATATATATATATATATATATATATATATATATATATATATATATATATATATATATATATATATATATATATATATGTGTGTGTGTGTGTGTGTGTGTGTGTAAGGTTTGAATTTACTATTGGGAACCTTGATTGTTAGCGCTCATCTTCTGCAGTTGTCTATCTACAACAATTACAATTAAAAGCTTTACATCTAGAGATTTTACATGAGCAGATCGACGTACATGAAAAACATAAGAGAAACAGAAGAGAAAGCTTTGTATGATGTGTTACAGTAAGTTATTAATTAGTTATGATAGAAAGTTTGTAACGATGAGTCCAAGCCATCACCGTTAAACCAGCGTGCGCGCGAACCAACCCATGTAGTAGGAGTGTATCGACAGTAGAAAGGGCAAAACTAATTACCAAGCTCCGCTATATAAACCGCAACATTTCCTCATAGAGCAGAATCGACAGGTTTTGACTGAAGGTTCTCTTCTTCCCTACCCCGGCTTGTGGACGTGTTGAGTTCACAAGTTGTTCCGTCTTTACCCGAAGAGCGTGTTGAGCTCTTCATTACCCGTACTCTGAAGCAGTCGTTTTAAGACTGTCGAGGAGTGTCCTGTTAACCCGAATCACTTAAGGGACGTGTTGAGTTCCTTTCCTTTCTTTGTAACTATCGTCCGCTGTTATTAAGTCGATACGGCGTTCACATAAAATTTCAAAAACACACTCGCTTGCCGATAAGACGAATTTCATACGACAAGGTCAAACTTATTTTGAATAAATAGGCCAGGTACTGAGAAGACTAAACCAAATTGTAAATATGAACATAAGATTTTTGTCAATTTAATTTAAGGAAGACAATAAAGTTTTATTTTTATTTTGAACTCTGTCTCTGACTGTCCAAAAGCTACCCGGATAGTGACTCCTACGAGAGGACATCACAAGTTTGCACAGAATCAATTCTAGCAGGTGACAACGTTTTGTAACAGTTGTTGTTCAGGGCATTCATATGTGTTTGGACTGTTTTAACTTAAAACATTAAATCATTGTTCAAATATTATTATTGTTTGATGTAAAACTTGGTATTTTGTATTTTGTTTTTTAAGCAATATAGTTTTTTCTTTACCTTAATATTAATCTAAATCCACTACAAATCACATTTTACTTTCAATATTTATATGCAGATTATATTACACTTTTTCAAAAACCATGGTAACTATAATTTCATTACTCTCAAAAACTCTCGTTTGAACCCAGGCTGTTTTAGAGCATTTGAAATCATATAATAACGATGGATGCCGGCATCTCACACGGTACTACACGGTCATATTTTGTGTAAGTCACTTTTGTTGTGTTTTCCCGAAAATGTCCATCAGGTAGGCCATTATAATTTTCTTAAAAAATTTTACCCACTGTAGATTACTCACCTCCATAGAAATAATCTTCAATAGTTTTTAACCATCCGACATCATCATGGGAATGTGGAATCAGATGGACATTTATTTTATCTGGCTCTATGTTGGAACATGCCTAAAAAAAGTTTGTCTTTAACGTTTACTTAAACAATTTTTTTTTGTCAACTCTAACAAAAAATTTTAAATAGACTAACACGTTAAAACAGCGGTACACAAAACAAAAAAGGTGTTCAATTTAATATTTTAACTTTATGTATGGCAACACTGTAACAAATAAAGTTTGCCTGTTATTTTTTTATGTCAAATGTCGGAAGACATAATATCCTCCATATTTGTTTCTTTTGTACACAGTATAATATAACATTTGTAGCAAGAGAATACACACGCGGATTTTGTGTCTATCGATGTCTATTTTTTTCCACCTTAATTTCCAATAAAAACAATTCAAATTTAACCATTGGTCCTCCGTATATAGCCGGATAAGGTGGAAAACAAGTTTACTAGTATATTTACATTTCCAAAAGTGTGAACCACGTGTGAACGAGAATCACACAGCAGTCAGCACGCCATTCAAGCAATGAACAATTAAGGTCAGTCCATTCCATATTCATACTATCATTAAACCTTTAAAATATCCATTCTTTCCTAACCATTTACATTATCTAAGGTTGAGCTTTGGGCTATTTTCGATTTGAACAATTTTTAAGTAGGTACTACAAACTTATAATATTAACACTAATTTACATAAAAAATCATACAAAATGGCATTATCAGGCAGAGACTTTAGAGATCTAGATACTTTAAAACGAACTCGTGGGTCAATTAAGAAAAAGGTAACTATTTTACAAAACCATATAACAAAGATTAGAGATGCAACAATTATAGCTGATATAACCGATATTCAATTAAGATACAATAATAATATCAATTTAATTAATGAATTTGAACAAATACAACAATTAATTGAGCAAAAGTGTGATGAATCTGAATTAGATGAACAATTTGAGGAACGGGAACAATTTGAAAATAAATTTTATAGTGTTGTTGCATATTTAAAAGCCTTCATAGACAAAAATAATTCCAACAATGTTTCAAACAGTAATGTTAATTCTATAAATAGTCATGATTCCCTCTCAAATTTTTTGTTACCAAAAATTAAGCTTCCAGTTTTTAATGGAGAATATGACCATTGGTTGGAATTCAAAAAAAGTTTTATGGCAACTATTCATTCAAATCAAACTCTGAATAATGGTCAAAAGTGCAATTTTTTAAAGGCAGCACTTGAAGGTTATGCTAAAAGAACGATTTCAGGTTGTGATGAAAATCAAGATACCTCAGGGCTTGGGAAATGCTTTGTGACAAATTTGACAAAAAGAAATTTCTTGTTAATACACATATAAAATCACTATTTAATATTAATTCTATGCAAAAAGGAACCTTTTTGCAATTTAGAAATCTTTTAGATGAAGTATCAAAGCATTTGTCTGCCTTGGAAGGTATGCAATTAACTAAAGATGCACTATGGGACATGGTTATAATTCATGTAATTTACTACAAGCTAGACAAAACTAATCAAAATAAGTGGAAAGAGTTCCATACAAAATCAGATATGCCTACATTATCAGAATTTCTTGAATTTTTAAAAGAACGACAAGATATATTAGAGTCTATAGAGGAACCTCATTCTAATACAAAAATATCAAATCAATATAATAAACTACCTAGGGAGTTTTACCCACGTTCTCAAGTAAATTTATCAATGAATACAATTAAATGCAATATATGTAAAGGTGAGCATACTATTTATACATGTAAAGAGTTTTTAAAATTATCAGTAAATCAAAGATGGGATAAAATAAAAGCATTAGAGTTGTGTTCAAATTGTTTACGAATTGGTCATTCGAAAAATACTTGCACTATTGGCTCTTGCAAAAGATGCAGACGCAAACACAATACTCTTCTTCATTATAATTCAGGGTCTTCTCATTCAAATAACCAATCAATTACATCAGAGTCAAATGAAGATAGAAACAATGTTGCTCAAAGTTCTTCAACTTATAACAATTCAGACATTTCTCAATCACCAATATTAATGCAAACACATTTTGCTTCATCAGATGATCACAAAAAGAGTCAGTCTGTATTATTATCAACTGTTACATTCAATGTAAAAGATAATAAAGGTAATTTTCATACCTGCAGAGCTCTTTTGGATTCAGGAGCTCAATCTAGTTTAGTAACTAAATCATTCTGCCAAAGGTTAGGCTTACAATTAATAACAACCAATTTAGCTATTCTTGGTATTAATCAAACTATTTCAATTTTAACTAAGAAAACTAATATTACAATTTATTCTAAATTTAACAGTTTTCAACATAATATCACATGTTACATAGTCCCTACAATTACTTCTTCTATACAATCAGAAACTATTGATATATCCTCAATTAATATACCAAACAATTAACATATGTCTGATCCAGACTTTCATATGCCAAATAAAGTAGACATGCTCATAGGTGCAGCTCTATTTTGGGATTTGCTTATAGATGGCAAAATCACATTAGGAAAAGCTGGTCATATTTTACAGAATACAAAATTAGGTTGGATTATCTCTGGTAAATTTTCAAGTATATGTCATCAAAGTTCTATTTGTAACTTTTCACAGAATATTCCTGAAGATAACCAATTAAAAAAATTCTGGTTGATAGATGAAATTCCTACTACCAATTCTATGTCAAAAGATGACACTCAATGTGAATATTTATTTAGTCAAGATACATACCGCAATAAAACTGGACAATTTGTAGTCAAATTTCCTTTGAAACAATCTCCTTCACTATTAGGGGATTCTAAAGAAATGGCTATTCAACGATTTCTATCATTAGAAAGAAAATTCAGTTCAAAGCCCAAATTTTATAGTCTTTATAAGGAATTCATTAACGAATACATAAAATTGGGTCATATGACAAAGATAACTTAAAAGAAAGTATTACTACACAAGTTCGTGTTGTGTTTGATTTCTCATACCCAAGCAAGTCTGGATATTCTCTTAATGACCTCCAATATGTTGGTCCTAAGGTCCAAAATAATATTTTTGATATCTTAATTCGCTTCAGACTATATAAATATGTAGTTTCAGCAGATATATCTAAAATGTATAGGCAAATTTTGATGCATGAAGATCACAAACCCTTACAACAAATAATTTGGAGAAATAATCCAAATGAACAATTTTCCACGTATCAATTAAATACTGTTACATATGGTGCTACTTCATCTCCATATTTAGCAATAAGGTGTATAAACCAATTAGCTATTGAACATCAAGAATTATTTCCTATTGCTTCTAAATCTATTCTTTCTGATTTTTATGTGGATGATCTTTTAACAGGATCTGATGATATTATTGAACTACAGGATAGATGTAGAGACATTTCACTCATCTTAAAATCTGCTCATTTTATATTAAGAAAATGGGTTTCCAATGATGCCCGTGTATTAAACAATATTGGTACATCTGACATTCCCAATGAAATTTTGAATATAGGAGAATCAGAAAGTTTTAAAACGCTAGGTATTCAATGGTCTAGCAAGCAAGATATTTTAAGGTATAAAATATGTTCCATCAAGCATGAAAATCATATTACAAAAAGGCAAATTTTATCTACCATATCTCAAATCTATGATCCTTTAGGAATTTTAAGTCCAGTTATAATCATTTCAAAAATAATTATACAGCAATTATGGTCACTTAAATTACCTTGGGATGAACCAGTTCCAGAAACTATATTTATTAAATGGTTTCAATTCTACAACCAATTGCCTACTTTAAATCAATTAAAAATTCTAAGATTAGCAGTCGGAAGAAACCATAAACTATTGGATCTGCATTGTTTTTGTGATGCATCACTACAAGCTTATGCAAGTTGCATTTACATAAGAAGTGTAGATGCTAAAGGTATATATCAAACACATTTACTGTGCTCCAAAGCAAAGGCAGCACCCTTAAAATCAATCACTATCCCATGTTTAGAACTACTAGCTTCATTATTAGGGGCTCAGCTAGTAGGTCAACTCCTTAAAGGTTCTTTTCCAGCAATTCCAATATATTTTTGGTCTGATTCTCAAATTTTACTTTGTTGGTTGAAAAAAGAGCCAAATCAATTGCAAACTTTTGTTGCTAATAGAGTTTCCAAAATTCAGAAAATTACTGAACCATATGGCTGGTTTTATGTTACCACGAAGGAGAACCCTGCAGATTTAGCTTCTCGGGGAGTCTTACCAGAAAATCTTGCAAATTCAAAATTATATGGTCCAGAATTTTTACATAAACCATTTAATCAATTATCTACCATTAATGAATGTAATCTAGTAATTCCGGATTTAAGGAAAGCATCTGCTATATTCACAACTGAAATTAAAGAGCCATCTGCTTTATTTCTACGATTTTCAACTTTTAATAAATTGCATCGAGTAACAAGCTATCTTCTTCACTTCATTTCAAATAGCCGCAAAGCTCCAGAGCAGCGAGTATTTGGAAGTTTAACAGTTTCAGAATTAAATTATGCTCTTATACTACTATTAAAATTGGCACAATCAGATTCATTCCATGAAGAATTTTCTTTGATAAAATTACATACCTATTTACCTTCTAAGCACAAGTTCAGCAGTTTTGCTCCATTTCTAGATAAAGACAATTTAATAAGAGTTGGTGGAAGATTACGATTTACATCCTTAGAAACTAATAAAAAACATTCTGTTTAGTTGTCGTCAAAACATCCATTAACAAAACTTGTCTTTGAACATAAACACTCAATATTACTACATCCAGGGCCTAACTTATTACTTTCAGCTATAAGACAATTTTATTGGCCTGTTGGAGGACGAAATTTAGCTAGAAAAATTTGTAACAGTTGCATGACATGTTTTAAATTTAACCCATCATTTGCTTGTTATCCAATGTCAAGTTTACCTGACAATAGAGTAACGCCATCTCTACCCTTTCAGTATACTGGTATTGATTATGCTGGACCATTGTCACTGAGAGACAAAAATGGTAGAGGATGTAAACTATTAAAATGTTATATCTGTGTTTTTGTCTGCTTTTGCACAAAAGCTATTCATTTAGAGCTAGTATCTTATTTAACCACAGATAGTTTTCTATCTTGTCTTAGGAGATTTATTTCACGTAGAGGAGTACCAGAGGAGTACCATCCGATATTTATTCTGATAATGGAAGTACTTTCATATTGGCTAGAAATGAGTTAAATGAATTAGGTCAATTTTTGTATGCTAATCAAACTCAAATAAACAACTATTCTTCTCATAAAAACATTAGGTGGCATTTTATACCTCCTTACACTTCTAATTTTGGAGGTCTTTGGGAAGCTGCGGTAAAAAGTACAAAGCATCACCTAAAGCGCATTATGTTAAATAAACAATTTATTTATGAAGATTTTAATTCTCTAATTGTTCAAATTGAGGGTATCCTAAACTCACGCCCACTATATGCCCTATCTAATGATCCCAATGATATTGAACCTATTACTCCTTCCCATTTTCTTATTGGTAGACCTATAACTACCCTTCCGGATCCTGACCTATCAGAAGTTCCATTGAATCGATTAACTAAACCACAAGAGCTTCAGCATATGTACCAGCAGTTTTGGACGAGATTTAAGCAGGAGTATATTTCTTAGTAATACTTCCAATAATATTGTACATGTAGTTACTCTTCCAAGTAACTACATATACAATACAAATGGAAGGATCCACCCACATCAGTCAAGGTTGGAACATTAGTTTTAATCAAAAATGATCAGCAGCCGCCATGTAAATGGCCTATGGGGCGAATTCTTCAATTAATTCCTGGAAAGGACGGCATCTCCAGAGTAGCAGAAGTGAAAACCGCCACTCGTGTAGTGACCCGTTCTGTTAGACATTTGTGTCCACTACCATTGGAAATGAGACACCATAGTGACATTGACATTATTTTATTAGTTTTATAAATTAGTTTAACTTTGAAGATTCTCTTCAAAGGGGGGAATTTATGTTCAATTTAATATTTTAACTTTATGTATGGCAACACTGTAACAAATAAAGTTTGCCTGTTATTTTTTTATGTCAAATGTCGGAAGACATATATCCTCCATATTTGTTTCTTTTGTACACAGTATAATATAACATTTGTAGCAAGAGAATACACACGCTGATTTGGTGTCTATCGATGTCTATTTTTTTTCACCTTAATTTCCAATAAAAACAATTCAAATTTAACCAAAAGGATAACTTAAAGTTGTAGGGCTTTCTCGAGTTTCGCGAGAGTTTCTCGCAAGTTTTGCAAGACTTATACGTAGCAGTTAATTGTTTTATTCGTCAATTTGCGTATCCTGTTTTTAAGTTTAGTAGGTCTTTTATTAATTTTTGGCATTGAAACTTGGGATAATTTTTTCAGTGATGTATCCTAATAAAAGAGAAATTCAACGTATATGAAGAAGTAACTTTGGATGTAGAAAATGATTCGAATAGTTCTATTGCTGACGATGATACAGAAGAGTTTAGCGATCGTGACACGAAATCTGAGCAAGAGAATATTCCGGAAGCGACATCAACGATTGAAAAACAAACAATTAATGAAGAACAATCTGACAGAAGATTAAATTATCATGCGAAGGACGGAACTAATTGAAAGAAATTTGCACCACCTACAAATATTTGCAAACGACGAAAGAATACAGTTTCTCACTTACCAGGAACTATCCGAGAATCTAAAAACGCAATGAGTCCCATTGAATCGTTGGATCTTCTATTACAAAATATTACATACTATTCTACTTATAGTAGAATAAACCAATATTTATGTTAGAGAGATATCTGGAAAATACAAAAATCAAAACGCCGTCAAACTTCCATCTGTTCCGGAAATGAAAGCTTTTATTGGTTTATTATATTTAGCACGTATGGATCACGGATCTCGCAAAAAAAATTAAAGAATTTTGGGCAGACGATGCCATGGGATCAGAAATATTTATAGCGACCATGGCACAAAGACGATTTAGATTTTTGTTAGAATTAAAACGTTTTGATTATAATCAAACCAGAGACGAAAGACTCAAAATCGAAAGAGATTTTTCTATCTTTCCTATTAATATCCTTTTAATAAAAATCCAAATAAATAAATAAATAAATAAATAAATAAATAAATAATAAATAAATAAAAAATAAATAAAAAATAAAATTGAAAAAGAGATGACAGATGTAGAAGAACCGAATGGCTTTCGTGCATGCAGATCCTGTATGGACAGTATATTCTCTCTAAAGCAAGTTATCGAGAAAAGATTAGCCCACAACCTTTTAACTCATATAGTCTTTATAGATCTGATAAAGGTATACGATAGTGTACCACTTTCGATGCTTTGGGTAGCAATGAAAAAACAAGGAATAAGCAAAAAAAAAATATACAAGCAGCACAACAGCTCTACAAAAATATGACGGCAAACATTAAAACTGAAAATAGATTAACTAGAGAAATTTCTATTAGTAAGGGCCTAAAGCAAGGCTGCTGTATAGCACCTACACCCTTCAAAATATATCTAAATGAGGCACTCTCACTGTGGAGAAGAAAGTGCTGCAATATAGGCATCCCAATTAGAGATGATAGATTGTACACGATACACTTCGCTGACGACCAAGCCATTCTAGCTGAAGACGAGAGTGATGTAGGCTACATACTTAGAAAACTGGAAGATGAGTACACCAAATGGTTCCTCACAATTATTATACAAAAAAACTGAGTACTTAGTTGTAGGAGAAAAACCAGAAAGCCTACAAATCGAAATGGGAACTATAAAACCAACAGACAATTTTAAATACTTGGGAGTCCAAATAACATCAAAAGCAGGAAGTAGCGAAGAAATACATTTCAGGATTGGCCAAGCAAGATCAGCCACCAAACGGACTATTATGAAATAAAATAATAATAAAAGAAAATAAAAGAAGAATTTATAAAACAATAATAGAAAGTATTGGGCTGTACGGCGCCGAACTCTGGGAAATAAACCAAAGAAACCAATTAAAAATTAAGTGCATGGAAATCAACTACTGGAGACGATGTTGCCAGCTAACTAGACTTGATAGAGTAAGAAACGAAGATATTCGGAGAGAAATGGAAATCGATCTAGACATAATAGACACAATCGAAGCCAAAAAACTTAAGTGGTATGGACATCTTCAGGGAAGATGCATCAAACAGTTGCAATAAAACAGATGATCACATATCACTAGCAATCCAGAATAGTTTGAACTATGTTTCACGAATCATTAATTAATAATCCGTGTACCGGCATGTAAGTAGTATTTTTACTATTTACTAATTTATTTCAATACAATAGATAATCTTATACTAATTTGTGGGTTGTTTTTTCTTTGTCTGCTTCATCAATTTTATTCATATGAATAATCACCGACATATAATATTGGCATAATTGCTGTAATTATTATCTTTAGAGCATCCAAAGGGTCCCCAAGTTCAGATATCTTGGTAGTTGGATAACTAAAGATCTAGATCCAGACATAGAGATACGTAGCAGGATTGAGCAAGCCAGAACAGCATTTACTAATATCAAAACCTTGCTAAGCAACAGCAGCCTCAACTTAACGCTTCGATATCGCTTTGTAAAATGTTACATTTACTTCATACTGCTATATGGTGTAGAAACCTGGACCATAAAGGCCAATGTGATGAACTGATTGGAGGCCTTTGTAATGTGGGTATTTAGAAAACTACTTAAAATTCCCTGGACAGATCACACAACAAATGTCGAAGTATTAAATCGAATGGGCAGAGAATGAGAATTGTTGCCAACAATAAAAAGAAAAAATCTGCTTATCTGGGTCATATATTTCGAAATTCCAAGTACCTGTTCTTAAAGCTTATTATGGAAGGAAAGATAAAAGGAAAACGAGACATCGAAAGAAAGAAACACTCATGGCTTAAAAACATAAGGAATTGGATAAGCCTCGATGCCCAGGCACTCTTTAGAGCCACACAAGATCGAGAGGGGTATGCCAGGATTGTCGCCAACATTCACTAATTGGATAGGGCACCATAAGAAGAAAAAGTTATCTTTATAAGACAGCCCCCTAATGTGGGGTTTTGTAATTTCAGCATTGAATTTATCTGGTATCGTTAGACCTGAAGATGCTTAGCAAAGTGTAGTAAGCGAAACCGCTCGTTTTGGTGGTAAAGTTGAATTGATTTTAAGTCTTATTTTATTTCTTTTTATCTAATTCTACAATAATTGTTTACTTACCTTTGTAGCACAAGAATCTAAATAGTCTGAGTTGACTTCTAATATCGAGACAAATAAAAAAATAAAATATATATATCTTTTACCTTCCATATTGAACTAACATCAACTTAGCAATAGATTAGAAATAGATTGTCACCGTAGAATTAATCAAAGCTGTAAATATTTTTTAGATCATCTTTATTGATAAATCAAAACAATATTAACTGATTATCTAAAATATTACTAATAAGTTGTATTACAAAACTAGATATTTGTTATCACTTAGTACAATAAACATAAGTATCTGCATTTGCATGTCACATAAATTGTTGCTTAACGACATTTTTATTGTAATAATATATTATCTTGAATATTATCTTCTTCATTTATATTAGAACTGAAGTGCAGAAAGTTAGCACTGGAACAAGGAAAGCTACACCGAATATAGATAAAAACAATAAAAAAACAAAGCCAAAAATTCAAATTCAAATTCTTTATTTTCTTTCTGACCAACATAGTTTGTATAGAATTAGTCATTCATATACATTGCTAAAAACTAAGCACTAAACTAGACTAAACAAGACATGAAATCAATTTAAAAGCTAAATGAAATATCGCTAATATCTAAGATCTAAAAAATTCTTCGACTGTATAAATCACTTTTTCACATAAAAATTGCCTAAGATTATATACATACACATTCCCCAAAACATATCGCGTATCTTAGCCTGGACTTCACGAGTGTATAATATATCATAATTAGCTTATTTTTCATCAAAACATATTTTAAATTTCCAATTATTAGATAGTTAATGGAATTCAACTTTGAAAAATTAATAATTTAAAAACTACATGTGTCATCTCTTTACAAACTCCAGGAGTTGGAGATACTACATAAACTTACAAAATTACATGAAGGTAAACCTTTAAAAAAAACAAAACAAATCAATATCAAAAATACTAAAACTAGCTGTCACAAGTTAACATTAAATTTAAAACAACAATTAAAATGATAGCTAAAGTTAAAATCTAAAATTTACAATTTTTTAATTATAAAAAATTTAAATTGTTACGAAAGCAATTATTGTTATAAAAAAATGTTTGTCTTTACTTTAAAATTAAACAAACACTAAACAGTTACCTGGATTTCACGATCACACATTAAGTTTCTGAAACCATAACTGGGGTTCTCTGGACACGAACACACGAACAAAAGGACTGCATCTCCCACTGCGAATTGGATCGACCATTTGAGGCCAAAGCCGGCACTGAACACAAAATTTATGGATCTGCCTCTTAAAAACAGGGACAGGTAGAATTGGACTGCAATTAAACATTAAATTGCCACTATTAACTGCTACTTAAATTATTTTCCATAACGTAGGAGGAAGAACAAAAGGACATTACAAATTCTTCATGAAAAGAGACGAAAACAGAAAACTTACAAATTCGACGTGAATTTGGACATAACGCTGACCGCTTCTCACCGCGGCTACAACGATAGTGACGAAATTATCCTTAAAAATTGATCGCATAGGTTGAAATAAACAAGACGCTGAGTATAAACAAAACACAACGGAAATTAAGACAATTTCGGGCGGTTTGATGATCAAAGCAAAAATATCGAAGAATTTCGCTTGTGACATAAACAATCAACTATTTTATTATCGACTGGGCGACGTGAAAAGAACGAAATATTATTTGGGTTTTAAATTGAACGATACGAACTAAGAAACATTGAAAAAACTCTTCGTTATTATAATGCATATATGAGGGGATTTCAATATATTACATATACGAGAGGATTTCAATATATTTTAAAGAATCAATGAATTGCAAATGCTACAACAGAAGACATAGAAAGAAGTGCCAGACGCCTAAGAAGAAGAAAGGGTAGAATAGGGTTAACATATACCTCCCCTGAAGAAATCAAAGAAATTAGAAGAAGAAAGGGTAGAATGGGGTTAACACATACCTCTCCTAAAGAAATCAAAAAAATTATAAAAATAAAGAACGCAAAGAATGCACCTGGACCAGATAACATCACGAACAGAGCGCTGAAAAACTTACCGGCGAAATTAATAGTCTACATCACAAACATCATCAACAGCATAATGAGACTAAGATACTTCCCGGACATATGAAAAGAAGCTCAGGTAATAGTGTTTGGAAAGCCGGCGAAAAATGGGAGCTTTTCATAAAATTATAGACCAATTAGTCTGCTATCATCTGTAAGTAAAGTAGCAGAGAGAGTGATACTAAAAACACTCAAAGAGGAATTAAAAGCAACAGAAACAATTCCAGAAGCACAATTCGGTTTTAGATCTGAACAAACCTGCGAATTACAAATACTAAGACCTGCGATAGAGGCTGCACGACCTTGACGTAGGTTCGGAGGCTTAAGCTGACTGTTCAGATAGGGCTGTAGTCTGGCGTAGGAAGTGGAACAAGTATGTGTGTGTGAATGAATGGGATCTCCCTAATAAGGAGCTCTCTGTTGAATGAAGTTACCCCCTATAAACGGGCTAGGGCTAGTGAATGGGAAGTATAGAAAGGTATGAAACGACCACGCTGGAACAGTTCCTGTCACCACATAGCCCTCGGGTATCTGGGAATCCTCCCCAGGTATTCGAGAGACTAGGAGTGGAAGACTTCACCGACCAAGAAGCAGCCTACCCAAGCTAAGGTGTGAGGTAATCGGGCTGATGGCTGTATGACCGCAAGGTTTTATGTGGTCGTGAACGATCCCCCTGGGGAACCAGGCAAACCCCACTGTATTAAGCCTTCCCCTGGTAATGCGGGGCTCTGCCAGGGGCGAACAACCTTTCCCTAGATACTCGTGGGAATAACTAGGTAAGTCCCTTTATGACTATATTATTATAAAAGATTTGTATATCCTAAATAAGGGCACCGAACCTACCATTATTAATGTTCGTAGCCAAACAGTCATAGATATCACGCTGGCAACAGCTGAAATATCGAATAAAATTCAGAACTGGCAGGTATCAGAGGATATTTCTATGTCTGACCATCGCTGGCTAATCTATATTATTAGTCTGGAAAAAAGCCTTATCAAATCGCGCGACCCTAGGAGGACGGATGTAGAACTCTACAACCGACTCTTAGAAGATGCTCTGCGGAATGAAAAGGCTTCAACTCCAGGAACTAATATAGAATTGGAAAGGTATACGGTATCTATCCAAAACAAAATAAGCTATGCTTATAAAAAATCCTGTCCAATAAGGATCGTCCAGGAAAGTCGCAAAACCAACTCTTGGTGGTGCACTGAATTGGAACACCTTAGAAAGATAGCAAGAACAGCTTTTAATAGAGCGAAACGCACCAAACTCAAAGAGGATTGGAATTCTTATCAATCAAATTTCAGAGAGTTTAAAAGTGTCTGCAGACAAAGAGCTGCTTGGAGAACCTTGGTGAGGAAATCGAAGATTTCCCGCAGGCTACAAAAAGCGCTCTCAAAGGAACCACATCGGCATGTCGGCATACTAACGAAGGAAGATGGAAACAAAACTTCCAACTTATTAAACTGTTTATTCGGGCTGTTGGGCCGTTGTCTTCTGTTGAGATTAGTTCTCGACGTTTCGCCAACACTAGGGGTTGGCATCTTCTGGAGATGTTGATGCTTCGCTTGTAAGCAGAAACTGACGACGCGTTGTACTACGGAGGCAATATTTATAATTCCCACTCGCCTCCCCTCCACTGGTTTCGGCTTGAGGGGGCGTGTCGTTGTTTATAGTAGCTTTTCTATCTCCGTGTTTGGCGGGAAGGGCGTTTGTGGATTTTAATACTGGTATCCATGTTTTGTTGATTTTTAGTCCTTCTTCTATCCTATTGAAATTGTTTGGGTGCTTGTATATTTCCACCGCTTCCCGATATAACCGTGGGTAGTACTGTGAAGTTTTGTCCAGCATCTGTGTTTCTTCAAATAGTATTCGATGTTCTCCGCTTCCCAAAGCGTGTTCGGCAACGGCAGATTTGTCGATATGTCCTAAACGACAATGGCTTTTATGTTCATTTATCCTGGTGTTGGTGTGTCTTTTTGTGGTTCCCACATATACCATTCCACATGTGCATGGTATTCGGTATACTCCGGCCGTTGCTAATGGGTCGCGTTTGTCTTTTACCGATCTTAAACAATCCTTGATCTTCTTTGTAGGTCTGAAGATGGTCTTTATGTTGGCTTTCTTGAGTATTCGCCCAATTCTGTCCGTTACCCCCGATATATAGGGCAAGAACGCTTTCCCTTTACATTCTGTTTCTTCGTCCCTTCTTCTAGATACGTTGTTCATCGCCTTGTGTATTTCTCTTCTGGTGTACCCATTAGAGGTGAGCGCTTTTTCAATATAAAGAAGTTCACTTTGGAGATGTTGTGGTTCACAAATTCTCTTCGCCCTCTCTGCCAAAGTTTTGATGATACCTTGTTTTTGGCTAGGATGATGATTTGAGTTCCTGTTTAGGTATCTGTCTGTGTGTGTAGGTTTTCGATACACTTTATGTCCTAAGTGACCTTCCTTTCGATTTACTAATACATCCAGGAACGCTAGTTGTTGAGCTTTTTCTGTTTCCATCGTAAATTGAATATTTGGATGTAGTGTATTTATATAAGCCAGGAAATCGTTTAGTTTTTCTGCTCCGTGACCCCAAATCACAAAGGTGTCATCAACGTATCTGAACCATACCCTAGGCTTGTATGCTGAGTCCATTATCTTCTTCTCTAAATGCTCCATGAAAAGGTTGGCTACGACCGGGCTTAGTGGGCTTCCCATTGCTACTCCATCCATCTGTTCATAAATTTGGTCTTCCCATGAAAAGTATGTGGTCGTTAGGCAAATACGGTATAATTCCACCATATCCTTGGAAACTAGTCCCTCAATTAAATTCAGAACGTCTTCTAGGGGGACTCTTGTAAATAGGGAAACCACATCAAAACTAACAAGAATGTCAGATTCCTGCAAAGTTATTCCTTTGATCTTCTCAATAAAATGGGCGGAGTCTTTTACAAAGGCATCGTTTTTTCCTATATGTGGTTGTAAAATATCGGCCAGATGTTTTGCAAGGCTGTAAGACGGAGATCCTATGGAGCTCACAATAGGGCGGAGAGGTAC